TGTAGCTGTAACTGTAGATCGGAAACCGCTGTCACTATAAGATATGTAAAGTAGGACTACTGTAATGCTAACTCAATCAATAAATCACCATAGAATTATTAAAGTAAATAATTCACAATAATAAATAATAAATAAAATTAAATTTTTCACTAATTTAAAAATAAATATACTAATAATAATAATACCTATAAATAATTAAATACTAGTATTAAATAATTTTATAAATAATTACCTGTTTATTAAATAAATTAGTTTTAATTAAATTTACTATTTAATTATTTCACCTTTAATTTAATTAAATAATACCTATGAAATATAAAAAGTATTAAATTTTTAATTAAATAATTACCTGTGAATTAATTAAATACTAGTAATTAGTTTTAATTAAATGATTACCTATGAATTAAAATTACTAGTATTAAATAATTTTAATTAAATAATTACCTATGAATTAATAATTATCTATAAATTAAATAAGTAATATAATAAATATATAAGATCCTATCTACTAAAGATTTTAACAAAATATATCTATGCTGAACGTAAATGACACTGGTCCTATACAAACTTCTCAAAAATTATGATACCAATAATCATACACAATTTGTCAACAAATTTTAGAAATAAGTAATGATGATGATGATAAATCGAATAGAAATGGTATATTTGCCCCCCAAAATTTACAGAAGTAAATAAATAATGATTCAATAATTACCAAAAATTACAACCAGAAATAAATAAAAAATAACAATTATATCGTTCACAATAATATACCCACAACCTAATAAATTTTGGTATAAAATATAAATAATTGATAAATCAAAATAAAAAAAAATAACTATGGTGTAAAATAATATAACCACCAAGTAATAGTTATTAATAATATAATTATTAATAAATAAAATATCAGAAAAATCAATATTACAATAATAAATTATTGCAATATAATGAAATAAATTCAATTAAGTACGCCCATAATACCTATAAATTCAATTAATAAATAGTTCTAGTTCTATTGATGTCGGTTCTAAAGTAAATCCGAAACGGTGTATTAATAACGCCAAATTGTACGCACACTTGAAAATATGTCACTTGAAACACTATTAATCTTGCGATAGTCTAAATACACTTGAAAAATCGTCACTTGACAAAAGCACTGTAAATATATCGGATTAAGTTACTTTTTCCGGCACGGCACACGATAATAGTTATATTTCTTGCTGCTTATTATCACACATTACTACGAATTCCAACTACATCTGATATGTCCTGAATATCTAACCTAAACACAGTTTTGCTGAATTTAATCAATGTTTACCTTGTTCTGTCCTGGCTGACAATCTCACTGTGGCCTGTAGTTCCGCGTGCACACACTGACTCAAATTTGCTGTGTGACCTAGTTCGCCAGTTGTAGCAGATTAGGATAATTCTGCTAGCTTTTGCCAGTGGACTGCTGGTTAACGGCAATTTCTCAGCTCTGTTGATAGATATTTCTCAATCCACGCTGTGATGAATGGCGACCCGGAAGTCTCAGTTGACTCGTTGATCGTGAAATATTTTGTTCGCCCTTTTATTTATTCGTGGCTTTTGGCTTTCTTGTGTATCGCGCTGTCATTGTTGACGCGTAGTGGACAACTTCTTCGTCGTAAATGTCATACAGCCATTTGATCTGTTTCTCGTAGGCTTCTTGATGAATTTGCAGAACGACGCAAAGTGCCACGTAACCCAGGGCAGTCTACGTGTCCTTTAACCTTTCACCCACGTGACGACATAACCCAGCGTCAGGCGGTTACAGGTTAAATTTTTGTCGCAACTGTTCGGTGATTCCAGCAACTATGCGTTTCACCAGATATCGTCTCTTACATGGCCGTCTATCACGATTTTTCCGTTTAGACTTTCAATGGAACCTCATCTGCGTGTACGTGATAGTCTCCGGTATCACTTTTCGTTGCTCCGTTGACCAAACTATCAAAACTTTCGGCTTTCACTGTGCAACTGATGTTTTTACTCGGTGACTTCACAAGCTGTGCTCTCTCATGCAGACTCCGTCACTTATATATCAGTCGTTTGACTTCTAATGGCCCTTCAACGTCTGCGTGGCAAGTAGCAGCTCATGATATCATCTCGCCGTTGCTGTTCTGTTGCCCGGTTATCTCCGTTTTTCAAGCCTCCAATTGTAATGAATGGGTTTGTATTTCTACTCGTTGTCTAGGCGGTGTTCATGCGTGTGTGGTGGATGATATTCTGACACGCTTCACGTTACACACCTGGCACAAGCCGACACCGATGTGAGCTTACGAGACATTACTTTATTGACGTATTACAACTTACGACAAACAGAATCGTCCAGTCGATGTCTAATTGAACCGCTTTCGTACACAAACTCACGCAGCCTTTTAACGAACAGTCTTCTGCAGGCATTCAAGCAACGATGGGTCCCATGGATTCAACACTGACGTTTGGACATCTCACACGCTGGCATGGTCGATCTCAGCTTAACATTTCGTCGGCAGGTCTCCTTTCTCCTCAGGCACTCACGTAGACATTCGCACATTCAGACGCTCGTCCTCTCGCTCCAACAGGTCGACACAAACTAAACTTGACCAGAGTCAAGTCTGACTTATACCACGGGTTCCTTTCACGTGACAACACGTGGTGGTCCTTTACTTTTCCCGTGGCGACTGGGTCGCATCACCGTGGTCCCCGTGATAACTAGTGGTTAGTCACCTATCTCCAGATTCTCGTTTAATCCAAGTATTTGGACTATCACAGTGTTTTTGGTCAGCTTTGGCTTTTCCCCCCACCATCCTAAACTGAGTGGAAAATATCCCCCATTTCTCTGTCTCTCTCTCTCTCTCTGACTGTCTGTCTGTCTCTCTGTCTGTCTGTCTGTCTCTCTCTCTGTCTGTCTCTCTGTCTGTCTCTCTCTCTGTCTGTCTCTCTCTCTCTGTCTGTCTCTCTCTCTGTCTGTCTCTCTCTGTCTGTCTCTCTCTCTGTCTGTCTCTCTCTCTCTGTCTGTCTCTCTCTCTCTGTCTGTCTCTCTCTCTCTGTCTGTCTCTCTGTCTGTCTCTCTCTCTCTCTCTCTCTCTCTCTCTCTCTCTCTCTCTCTCTCTACATATATATATATGTTAAAGTCTTACTAATGGTGCCAGTGCAGTTCTCACCGTGTTTCTATTTCCCGATCTATTCTCCCGTCGTCCAAGAATACATTTTTTTTTCCAGATAATGAAATTCTTTAACCCGGCTTTTTATTATGGCATTCTTAACTGAAGACAACATAGTATTTTAGCTATATAAGGTTCCATTTTCCCCCAAATAGAGGGGGCACGTATTTTTGACAATTAAAGGGTCTAAAAACAGTGAGCATGTTATACAATGGTAGGAGGTTTTCACCAAATGAATTTAGTGAAAAGACCGTGTGACAATGTGAAGAATGAAATCATCGTCAAGTCATTCAAGAAGTGTTTCATTTCAAAAATCACAGATGGAACTGAGGATGAGGCAATACATGAAGTTAGCGATTCGTCACCAAACACAGAAGGGGCAAGCTACAGAACTATCATATGGATGAGAATTGTGACACTGATGAGTTTTCTGGTTCACTGATGAGTACAAATGAATACAACGTGTGTTCACTAACTTATCATATTTTTTCCTCTAAGTAAGGTTAGTTGCGTATCCTTTATAGGACGTTGCAGAACCAACCCCAACAGCCCTGGCTGTTATGTGGTTTTTCTAGGCAAATTTACGTCCAGTAGTTTGCCATTGCTCCTGGACGGTCGGCTTTCTTGATACCACTATCGAAACCAACGCATAGCCCGCAGCTGGGATCGAACGTAATGCAGGCATTACGAAGCGTTCGCATCGATTTAGACACAGAGCCGACTTTCTCTACATTACAGGTGGGAAAATAAGCGCGACTTGTACATGAGATCGCCTTATACCTGGGTAAATACGGTATGTGCATCAACTGCTGTCCTTGGAAACATTAAATCGACTCTTGACCACTGTCTCTGGATCAAGGAAAAGAGTCAATTCGCAGTACTATCTATTACATTACACCGACATGCAGTAAAGCGGAGCAGCGTTTCTTTTTAATCAGCGAAGGGGTGCAACCAAAAGAACTTCATGGGCAAGTCAAAGTCCCGTATTGTGAAACATGCCCGGTCAGGTACAACGGTCTGTGACAGATGCCATGCTGTTTTGATCCGCTAAAATCGCAACTGTTATTGGTTAGGTTTATAGAATGACAATTTTCATTTGGTACGTTTAATAAAATCTCAGTTGCAGTGTAATTAGCTTCATAAAAGTATAGTGGCAATGCATTTGTTTAGTTTAACAAAATACACCTTACCTTCTAATTTGCTAAGTTTCGTAAAGCAACATTTGTGACTTACCAGACTTTATCATCAGCCACCCTGTTACTTATCAGACTTTATCACAGACTTAATCATCAGCCGAACTGTTACTTACCAGACTTTATCACAGACTTTATCATCAGCCACCCTGTTACTTACCAGACTTTATCATCAGCCACACTTGTTACTTACCAGACTTTATCACAGACTTTATCATCAGCCACACTTGTTACTTACCAGACTTTATCACAGACTTTATCATCAGCCACACTTGTTACTTACCAGACTTTATCACAGACTTTATCATCAGCCACACTTGTTACTTACCAGACTTTATCACAGACTTTATCATCAGCCACACTTGTTACTTACCAGACTTTATCACAGACTTTATCATCAGCCACACTTGTTACTTACCAGACTTTATCACAGACTTTATCATCAGCCACACTTGTTACTTACCAGACTTTATCACAGACTTTATCATCAGCCACACTTGTTACTTACCAGACTTTATCACAGACTTTATCATCAGCCACACTTGTTACTTACCAGACTTTATCACAGACTTTATCATCAGCCACACTTGTTACTTACCAGACTTTATCACAGACTTTATCATCAGCCACACTTGTTACTTACCCATCTTTCACATAGTCATATTTGTTTCTGATAACATCATACACTAAAGGTGTTATTGCGTTGTTCGTAGCCACAGCTGAAATAGCACTACGCTTCTGTGCTTCCAGATTTGAAGAGTCCTTGTCTTCTAAGATCGTCATTAAACTGAAACGAAAACGTCAAACTGCGTTTACTGTCTATAGTACAATTTGTGAGGATGGTTTAGGAAAGAGGCTGTCTATAGTACAAAGTGTGAGGGTGGTTTAGGAAAAGGGCTTCAATAGTACAATTTGTGAGGATGGTTTATGAAAAAGGCTTCTATAGTACAATTTGTGAGGGTGGTTGTCAGGGTTCGCCCTGTTATGGGACAGTTCAGGATGATGATGATGAATCTCGTCACCGTACCCTGCGACCCTTAGTGAAACTCGGTACGTGTATACACACGTAAAAACGAGCATGAGCGAAGCGTAGCTTAGTCATTGACCTGCGGACCGCACGGGTGTGCAGCGTAGACTGCAAATTTTGGACCGGACGCTGAACGCTTGCTTGGGGGACTGCTAGGAAACTGGACGTGGGACGAGAGTGGAGATTTTAGTGACCGTTTGTTTTGACTTGAAGATAGGTACCAGTGTAGTTATTAGCTGTAACGTGTTCTGTTCATAGTGTCATGTAAAGTAGTAGCTAGACTGTGGCAGTAGTTGTAACTAGAAGCCAGACCATGCTTTGTTGGTGGCGTTAACACTGTCGACCCACTTAGGCCTACACGTTGGCGTATGCCATAACGACTTTGGCATCGAGAGACAGCGGGTTGAGCTGGCACTGTACGGGAGAGTGGTATCGGCTCAGAGCTTATTTCATGAACGTGTAAATGCGCCTCTGAGCGATTTTAAAGTTAGACGCGGCCTGGGTTTTGAATAAGGAGCGCTATATAGGAGCGCTTCTATAGTACAATTTGTGAGGATGGTTTAGGAAAAGGGCTTCTATAGTACAATTTGTGAGGATGGTTTAGGAAAGAGGCTGTCTATAGTACAATTTGCGAGGATGGTTTAGGAAAGAGGCTGTCTATAGTACAATTTGCGAGGATGGTTTAGGAAAGAGGCTGTCTAAAGTACAATTTGTGAGGGTGGTATAGGAAAAGGGCTGTCTATAGTACAATTTGTGATGGTGGTATATTAAAGTGCTCTTTAGCTTGGGGATTTAGGGTCTCATGGCCAGTACAGTCACCATTGGAATGTTAGAGTGTTCATTCTTAACCCTGACATAAAACAAAAGCTTCCATCTTCTTCCGGAGGATTTGGACCCGGGTCTTTTGCATGTGAGCAAACATTCTAAACTCTCGTCCAGACACTGTTCCTGGGAACAGTGTGCTAGGTTTATACTGTACATTATGTTGCTGATTAAATATAATTAACACACAAATAAACCACATCTGGCAAACGGATGTGTTTGGGCAACTCAGTTCCTGAAATGAGATCAAAGTCTAGACCTGGACGAACATCCACGGAGTTTACAGCCAGTGGCGGCTATGAAAATTACATGTTTGAACAAAGGTCTGATGCGGAATTAATTTACCATAACATCTCATAAAATATATGATGCTAATGTGAGCTCTAACACTTTACAACCTTGATGAGACCATGACTAACTGTATGTTTACTGTGTATATGGCAAAAATGTAATGTATGAACTTACTGGCTAATAACCTCTGGATCTCTAGAGCATGCCAGAGCTTGCAGTAAAGTCGCTGCCTCCGATAAACTATCAGTCTCTTTGTACATCTAAATGTAAAAACAAAAGATTGTGTCAGTGTTTGAAAAATTGTGAGATTTTCATCTGGTAATAAAAACAATGCAGATGTTTTTTTTTTTTTTTTTTTTAACTAGATTCCTTAAAATTCCCCGGAAAGCCAACAAGTGCTACACAAACGTTTTGAAAGAGGTGGAGACAATTTATCACAAACATCGGAAAGAGACAGCCATCATGGATAGGTCATGTTATGAGATGAGAGAAAATGGAACATGTTGCCAATAAATAAAAAGTCTGTTGAAAAAGAGACGAGGGAAGACAGAGCGACAAAATTATTGACAGCCTTTTGTCATGGAGGGGTCTCACTACAAAAACTCATTATACTGTTGAAGATCCCACATTGTGGAGAGCCATGATCGCCCACGCCAGGCGGTAATGTGCTTGGTAATTTTATGAATAAAAACATTCTTTATAAAAGTATGCATACATAAGTAAAAATAATTTTTAATGTAACTAAATCTAGGGAACTTGGAGAAAATTTAAACTTGCACTAAACTTAGAAGATTTAGATCTAAGTTCCATCAGTCTTGTGTCAAAATAGTAAGTCCTCATTTAAATGTCAAGTGCAAATTACATGAATGAATGAATGAATGAATGAATGAATGAATGAATGAATGAATGAATGAATGAATGAATGAATGAATGAATGAATGAATGAATGAATGAATGAATGAATGAATGAATGAATGAATGCATGAATGAATGAATGACGAAAAGATAACACCACACTCGAGACATTTCCACGTATGCCCTGTCTCTTCTCTGTCTTCGGGATCCAAAAAGAGTTCCTATGCCAGTAGTGCCAATTACGACCTGTGTTTGTTTTTAGCGTTAGGTATCATTGGTAAATTACAATCGCCCCCCTCCCACCCCTACCCCAACCCCGGCGAGTCTTCCAAGATATCCTGTTCTGTGGCCATATCCACTTGATCCCACAGAACCTTGATTATGTCCGCTCCGCAGTAACATACACCCGCCACTCCCCTTCTCCCAATCTGTCAGATTGCCCCCTTGCCCCACACACCTCAATGTCCTGGACAGAAAATCCTTGATCTGCATGCTCCTAACCTGCGTCTTATCCAGTGATGTAAGCCACTTTATGCCCAGGATATTATATTTGTGGAAGCATGCTAAGCGAGTCACTTATAATTAAACAGGCCCCTATTCCACAGACACAGATACAGTTCGTGTGAGTAAAATATGTAACATCTTTGAACTACTAATCTTTAGAACACACACATTGTGATTGTAACTGATTCAGAAAGCATGATGAGGAAGATCAGAACAGGTATGCTTCGTGCAGAGTGACATGCTTCGCTGCGGAGGACACGAGTGAGGAGTATTGTATGGATTTTTTCACCGGGGAACACAGGTGTGTTGTGAAATGAACAGGCGGACGGACTGGCTGGCTCTGCACAACTTGGTGGAATACTGCTACATGATAGGGCAGACGTGGTTAGTGCCTTGTGGGAGAGCATGTACAATGCGGAGGAGCAGATGGATCACCACAGTCTGGTGAGATTGATGCAGCAGGGAGTGACAAGAGGTTCTGGCAGATGCTCGAGGCTCAGAGGAAAGGCAAGACGGACGTTTAATCAGAATGCTACTGGCACCATTAGTATCGGAATTCTTCGCTGACTGCTGAAAATTGGGACGGAACGCTTATGCAAATGCCCCGAGTGCTGTGATGTCGGTTCTTGAACCAAATCAAATCAAATCAAATCTGACCTTTAGAGCAAAATTTAGCTCATCCTTTCCACCGTTGGCTATGGCATGACAGTAAACAGCTTCCTTGACGTTGGGATCAATCCTGGGTAGAATGTTAATGAAAAGACACGGTGATGTGGTGCGATCGCTAGTAACATGAAATATATTTCTGAATAACTAATCCATAACTGTTGCCCAAATTTTAAATAGTAATAATTACCATAATTTACGCTCGAAGACCAAAAAGGAAAAATATGTAATAAATATTGAATACAGTAATACCGAACTTATACTGAAAGGGACAAAATGTGTACATATATAACAAACAAACCCAAAGAAAAAAGAAAAAAAACTTTTCATATCCAGACTCATAATTCCATATATGGTTATTCAGCTCATAATTCTACACATAAAAATCAGAGGTGCCGCGACACTGGGCCTCCAAAGAAAGTCATGATTATTATAATTTGCTCATGGAGTTTCCTCCAGCATCACCCTTAGAACATTTATAAATGTGCAGTGCACCGCCCCCTTTCCCATCCTTCCATACTTTTCTTTGTGCTAGTGATCCTGCCTTCTACTCTGTTTCAGGCTCCAGGCAACTGGTTATCAATTTGGACAGCCCAGAACATCAGTCTGACCCTTTCGTGCTTCGACTGCTGAAGGAGCAGCCATCCAGGTGTCAGTGTCAAGTTTCTTGTTTCTTGTTATCCGTTCTGACAGCCCAGCACATCAGTCTGACCCTTTCGTGCTTCGACTGCTGAAGGAGCAGCCATCCAGGTGTCAGTGTCAAGTTTCTTGTTTCTTGTTATCCGTTCTGACAGCCCAGAACATCAGTCTGACCCATTCGTGCTTCGACTGCTGAAGGAGCAGCCATCCAGGTGTCAGTGTCAAGTTTCTTGTTTCTTGTTATCCGTTCTGACAGCCCAGAACATCAGTCTGACCCTTTCGTGCTTCGACTGCTCAAGGAGCAGCCATCCAGGTGTCATCGTTGGGTTTCTTTCTTGTTCTCCGCTCTGACAGATCAGAACATCGTGCTCCGACCTCCGCTGCAGCAGCCCTCTCAGTGTTCGCTTGAGGTGTCTGTTTGAATACACTCCACCTGTCCACACATGAACGTAGCTTCTGTAGCAGGTATGTTATCTACTTACATGTTGCGACTGGCGTTGGTCATCCACTGTCTGAACTGTCTGGTTGCCTCGTCCACACACGAGTTGACCCCATAGTGACATGAATGCCATGCAATCAGCGACTGGGTTAATCTGGAAGTAATGTGTGGAAAACACAATAGGAAAAAGGAACTTGGAAGAATGATTTATGACTATAGTCTTCTTCTTCTTCTTCTTCTCTTCCACCTTGTACCTCAGCGAAGTGTTGGGTGGTATGACTATAGTCTTTTTTTTTCTTCTCTTCCACCTTGTACCTCAGCGAAGTTTGGGTGGTATGACTATAGTCTTCTTCTTCTTCTTCTCTTCCACCTTGTACCTCAGCGAAGTGTTGGGTGGTATGACTATAGTATGTACTGTAAATTATGATACATCATGACACTAACGTACGTTAAGTATTTCATGTAAGCACATTTATGTATTGGAGGAGCAACTTGCATAATCAACGAACCGCTTTTTAACTTTACAGCAAACTGGTCGCCCCTTAGCATTTACGCTCCTGGGCCAACGAAAGCCTCAGAGTGTCCTTCACTGTCCTTTGTAGAAAAATGAACACAAACTGCAGTCTCAGGATATCCAGAAACATACACACGAATTAAAAGAACAAGACAGCGGTCAAAAGTGCCAACACAAACAGGCCAGAGCCAGAAATGTAGTTAATTATGGATAATTGCTGAAGGAACAACTGGTCAATGAGTGAAAATAATGTGCTCTAACTCGGGAGACCCAGGTTCAACTGCTTGAGGAGTATATAAACACTTTTCTTAGGTCGGGGGCACACTCGAAACCTTTACCTTCCACAGTTTTCGGCAACAAACACTAGACATACGCACCCAAATTCTCACTATCCAGGCCCACATATGCAACACTAAATAGCGAGAAGTAATTACCAGCAGTCAGAACTGAAATATAATTCTTTGTTAAACATACATGAGCTGCAGTGATACTGTTGGCAACATATGCACGACATTATCTCACATTAAATGGGAAGTTAAACATACATGAGCTGCAGTGATACTGTTGGCAACTTATACATGAAATTAATCCGCATTAAATGGGAACTCAACAGCTGTCGAAATGTCTAGTTTCCATATAGTTCTAGGCCTAGACATTCCTCACAGAACAAAGCAGCCATTGATTGCGTCAAAATATTCCTTCCTTGCCAGACCGCTAAGGAATCGAGTCATGGTAGTTATCACCAACATTGAGCCCTTCTGTCCTGTGTTGGTTTTTAAGTTTCTCATCCGTGTTTTACATAAGTTTCCGAATAAAAAAAAAATTTAAAAAAAAAAAACTCATGAAGACAGAACAAATTTATCCGCGGGAGAATACACAAAGCACAAGAGAACTATTTCGACCTGGAGAAAGTACCATCTAAGCAAGATTCCTAGAAAAAAATTAGATTGAGAAAGGGTTCCTTCAATACAAACAAGTGGACAATATCTATACTACAATTCACCAACTATAGCACTGCCATGATATGATAGCACGTCCAATCTGAGAATGGAGGTGGAGGCAGTCACAACAGATTGTAGCTTGCATAAAACACAGCTGCACACACGTAATGATTCTAACAGAACATCAAAATATGACCAGAAGGCATGTCCCGTTCATAGTGACAGGCGTTGCACCACAAGTCCGCAGTGCTTAGAACCCTATTTATATTTTCTCCAGGTTATAAAGGTGTTTTGGGAAATAAACAGATAAACACACTGGCTGGTGTTGCGTCGCTGGTGGTGACTTGTGCAAGATGTCTTCCAGACTCTTCAGGAGCAAGTGAACAATGCTGAAGCATAAATAGATAATTGCCATGTGGAGAGAACGGTGCAGGGAAGTGCCTATATAATCAGACCACCACTCTACACTCAGGAAAATGGCAAGACGAGCTAAGATGAAACTGCTACTGATACCTTCAAAATCAAATCTCAGTCTACTCCCGCTGTTACTGAAGAAGGGGACGGAGGACGTGTGGGAATGCCTCGAGTGCAGTGATGTCTTCTTCATTTATTCATTTATTCTTGAATTAGAACTCTTCTTTGGCTGCTAAAGATGAGGATGAAGCGCGTAGGGGAATGTTCCGAGAGCTGTGATTTAGATTCTCTATTGGACAAAGAGGCACAAAGAATGATTGTAGAACCAATGGAGTCTGGAAATGACAGATAATACAAAGCAAGTCCGTAGAAAGTCGATAGTACAAAACAGAACAAAGTCTGAAGATGATCTACAAATCTTCGGCATCTTCTGTCTAGGAGCCTTCTGCACCTCTTCCCCTCTTACGTGTGCCGCTGTCACGACTCACTCTAGATTTCAGTATTCACTTCTTCATGCCGAGACCCCGACTAACCACCACTAGGCTCTCTTTGTGGGGTAAATACATTCAAGACATCTTCATTAGATTTTTCGTTTTAATCTATCCATTATGTTCTCATTATTGTTCCGTAAAACGTCACCTCTGCTGCGACCTCATTGTGTGTCCACAATAAAGAACGCATGTGTATAAATGCATACGCATCTTCAATTTTGTTTGCGTTTTGTGAATGTGTGTGTGTGTGAGTGTGTGTGTGTCTGTGTGTGTGTGTCTGAATGTATGAGTGTGTGTGTCTGTGTGTGAGTGTGTCTGTGTGTGTGAGTGTGTGTGTCTGTGTGTGAGTGTGTGTCTGTGTGTGTGAGTTTGTGTGTGTGTGTGAGTGTGTCTGTGTGTGTGAGTGTGTGTGTCTGTGTGTGAGTGTGTGTCTGTGTGTGTGAGTTTGTGTGTCTGTGTGTGAGTGTTTGTCTGTGTAAGTGTGTGTCTGTGTGTATTTGAGTGTGTGTGTCTGTGTGTGTGAGTGTGTGTGAATGTGTGTGTGTGTGTGTGTGAGTGTGTCTGTGTGAGTGTGTCTCTGTGTGTCTGTGAGTGAGTGTGTGTGTCTGTGTGTGAATGTGTGTCTGTGTGTGTGAGTGTGTGTGTGTCTGTGTGAGTGTGTGTCTGTGTGTGTATGTGAGTGTGTGACTGTGTGAGTGAGTGTCTTTGTGTGGTGTGTGTGTGTCTGTGTGTGTGTCTGTGTGTGTGAGAGTGTGTATGTCTGTGTGTATGTGAGTGTGTATGTCTGTGTGTGTGTGAGTGTGTGTCTGTGTGGTGTGTGAGTGTGTGTCTGTGTGTATGTGAGTGTGTATGTCTGTGTGTGGGTGAGTGTGTGTCTGTGTGTGTGAGTGTGTGTCTGTGTGAGTGTGTGTGTGTGTGTGTGTGTGTGTGTGTGTGCTAATTAAGACTTTTATAAAACAACCAACAAACAAACACAAACTTACAAATCAACAGGATTTTGCGTGAATTTTACCAGTCCAAAGTGGTTAAAGGGATCGGCCAGTTTGCTTTTTATGAAGTTCTGTAAACAGAGACATTTCGCAATCATCTCCTGTTTTCACAAAGTTGTGTAAATAGATGTTTAGTGTCATTTTAAAAGGGTTTCCCAGAAGGTTGTGTCAATAGTCTTGATGCGGATTCAGACCTTTAACGTTTGAACCTTTAGGTGCTATTGTTCGACCCCGAATCTCTCTACGTGCGTGCTATATCTAGTTGTTAACTCTGTGGAGGAGCGGCTATCCGCTGCCTGCGTATCTGAAGGTCCTTGGTGCTTATTCTGACAGAGCCGGACAATATTTTTTTTAAACTTTAGCTTCTAGATTGACCCAGCCTAAAATGATTACCAGGTAAAGTCCTGGGAAGTAAAGGTGACCGGTGTGATGTTGACCACATTACTCACCGAGTGCAGATTGGTCTCTAAAATATAGGTCTAGCTCTTTATAGCCAATACGCCTGAAGACGTGGAGACTGATTATGTTTATGTTTGTTCAACAGAGCAGCTTCATGGCAAACGGGTGTAACCCATAAGTGCTCCGTCTTCTTCCAACTCAAGCCTCAGTCCGAAAATCTGAGAGCAGTGCACGAACTCTGTGGCACCGGCGAGGATCCTGAAATACCTTAGTTAGATTTTTAACTGCAAATTTTGCCTGCATAGCGCCATCAGGCTACTCATTTCGATTTCCAACGTGCGCAGCAATACACACGGGCGTCCGGTCTTACTACTTAGTCACCAGGGGGAAATTACTAGAAATACACGTGAACAAACCCTATAATAAGGTTCTTCATCATTAAGTGCCTTGCTGACCGGCATGGGCGATAATGCCTTTCCATAACGTGCCATCTCCAACAGCATGTATCAGCTCGTCTGCAGACACTCCTCCATGCCATGACAAAAATGATGTCAGAAATCTTTTCGTCATTTGTTGTTCTATGTCTCTTTCGACAAATATTTCCAGTTGGGCCCAACATGTTTTAGTTTCCACTCGTCTCACAAGAAGGCCAAAAATGATAACTGTCTTTTTCTCGTGTAATCAGATAATGGCAGTTCCATCGTAATAGCAAGCTGGTCACCGCACAGTTGCTCCGTTCCTGTGCCAACGAAAACCTTCAGAATGTCCATCAGTGTCTCTTGTGCACAACAGGTGACACAGCCTGCAGTCTCAGCAATGCCAGTAGCAGTTCACAACCCAAACTACGTTGGGCATAGTCAAAAAGCATTCCATATTAAATCTGCCGCTCACAGTGTCGCACCCTTCACTCAGCTAAGTAGTTGATGGTCTACAATTGAAGGAAAATTCAAACTGCTTACTATGGTAATAAGCAAATCCTCGCCACAACTAGAACAGTGAATAGGTAGGTCTACCTCAGTGACTTGCAGTCGCTGCCTTCTTCCAATTTAAAAAAAAAAAACAGTAAAGGACCCTTTCCACGCCTTTAGGCGTATAAGGCATATAGGGCTAAACCTATATTTTTATAGACCAATCGGCACAAGATGGATGATGTGGTCAGCATCACGTGGGCCGCCTTTACTTTCCTGGGACTGCACCTGGTACCCACTCAAGGCTCGGTTGAAAAGGAGCCAAGGTAATTTTTGAAAAAAGTCCGGCTCCGCCAGGGAGCTAAGCCACGACCTTCCGATCCGCGGCGAGCGTCCAGCCGCTCGGCTTCGGTGAGTCCCGCCTTTTTCCAATGCTTGATGTAAACTGTTTTCGGGCTTTTCCTCTTGCTAAACATCTGAGCTCCTCATTTTTGGCTGTACGAGGAATGTTTAGCATTCTTCCGTTAAACCACATATCTGAAGTGTCCAGAATTTTGTGTTTGGCTTATTTATCAGTTGTCCAGGATTACAACCGTTTGTTAAAATTGGCTTTATACAGTATGCCACGAATTATTGTTCAAACCTTCCATGCACGGGATTTGTTGCAATAAGTTCTTCGTGTGACATATAACTGCGTTTTGCTGTCTTAGTCTTTAACATGTCTCGGTGAAAAGAAAAAAAGACACTTGCCTGAAAGTTTGTATAATCTATAGTATTGTTGTAGAGCAAGGACTCCAACATCCAGAGTTGTGAAAGAGCTGCGGACCAAGGGATGTAATCACGTTCTTTGTCCAGGTACTCCACGATTGAAAAGGCTGTGTCGTACTGAATCCGACCGACTCTAGACCCAAAAAAAAAAGAACCAACACGTCATTTTTACATTTACCAAAGATGATCTTATCTATCAGGGATATTTTAAGGATATAACAAGCCATAACATTTGCCTTCAATGTTTTCAAGCAGCTGTCAATACAGTTAGAGGATCTGGCTTGGTTGGCTGGTTGGTGAATGCGTTGGATGACCGAGTGTTACAGGACAAGTCCAGTGCTCAAGTCATTAGCTGTTAGCTGACACACTGTGACACGTGTAAAGTGACAAAACGTGTTGTTAAATGCCAGCTGTCATTAACAGACAATATGTGTCATCTAACATCGTGATATTAGCTGCCCACTGACACAGCGTGACGCCTGTCAACTAATACAACATGACAACACACCATAATGGGATAATGAGAACATTTGTGATCTTAATTTTACCTGGCCAGGCTGAAAGCATCGTCGATAATTTGTGCTCTGCTCACTGGCGGAATCGTCTGCAAAAGATATCAGTGTTGTTTGATCTCGACACGCTTAAGAAATCTGGTTACACATTTTATTAGATAAAAAGGTGCTGCTGCGTTTCTGTGTCTGTGACAGTACTACACTATCTTGTGTCTGTGACAGTACTACACTATCTTGTGTCTGTGAAAGTACTACACTATCTTGTGTATGTGACAGTACTACACTATCTTATGTCTGTGACAGTACTACACTATCTTGTGTATGTGATCTTGTGTTATGTGTGACAGTACTACACTATCTTGTGACAGTATGTCTGTGACAGTACTACACTATCTTGTGTGTATGTGACAGTACTACACTATCTTATGTCTGTGACAGTACTACACTACACTATCTTATGTCTGTCAGTACTACACTATCTGTGTCTGTGACAGTACTACACTATCTTGTGTATGTGACAGTACTACACTATCTTATGTCTGTGACTGTGACAGTACTGTGACACACACCTATCTTGTGTATGTGACAGTACTACACTATCTTATGTCTGTGACAGTACTACACCATCTTATGTCTGTGACAGTACTACACTATCTTGTGTATGTGACAGTACTACACTATCTTATGTCTGTGACAGTACTACACTATCTTATGTCTGTGACAGTACTACACTATCTTATGTCTGTGACAGTACTACACTATCTACTACACTGTTATGTGACAGTACTACACTATCTTATGTCTGTGACAGTACTACACTATCTTATGTCTGTGACAGTACTACACTATCTTATGTCTGTGACAGTACACTATCTTGTGTCTGTGACAGTACTACACTATCTTGTGTCTGTGACAGTACTACACTATCTTATGTCTGTGACAGTACTACACTATCTTATGTCTGTGACAGTACTACACTATCTTATGTCTGTGACAGTACTACACTATCTTATGTCTGTGACAGTACTACACTATCTTATGTCTGTGACAGTACTACACTATCTTGTGTCTGTGACAGTACTACACTATCTTATGTCTGTGACAGTACTACACTATCTTATGTCTGTGACAGTACTACACTATCTTATGTCTGTGACAGTACTACACTATCACTATCTTCTTTGTGTCTGTGACAGTACTACACTATGTCTTGACAAAACTACACTTTCTTGTGTCTGTGACAGTACTACACTATCTTATGTCTGTGACAGTACTACACTATCTTATCTGTGACAGTACTACACTATCTTGTGTCTGTGACAGTACTACACTATCTTATGTCTGTGACAGTACTACACTATCTTATGTCTGTGACAGTACTACACTATCTTGTGTCTGTGACAGTACTACACTATCTTGTGTCTGTGACAGTACTATACTATCTTATGTCTGTGACAGTACTACACTATCTTATGTCTGTGACAGTACTACACTATCTTGTGTATGTGACAGTTCTACACTATCCTGTGTATGTGACAGTACTATACTATCTTATGTCTGTGACAGTACTACACTATCTTATGTCTGTGACAGTACTACACCATCTTATGTCTGCGACAGTACTACACTATCTTATGTCTGTGACAGTACTACACTATCTTATGTCTGTGACAGTACTACACTATCTTATGTCTGTGACAGTACTACACTATCTTATGTCTGTGACAGTACTACACTATCTTATGTCTGTGACAGTACTACACTATCTTATGTCTGTGACAGTACTACACTATCTATCTTATGTCTGTGACAGTACTACACTATCTTATGTCTGTGACAGTACTACACTATCTTATGTCTGTGACAGTACTACACTATCTTATGTCTGTGACAGTACTACACTATATTATGTCTGTGACAGTACTACACTATCTTATGTCTGTGACAGTACTACACTATCTTATGTCTGTGATACTACACTATCTTGTGTCTGTGACAGTTTCTGTTACAGTACTACACTATCTTATGTCTGTGACAGTACTACACTATCTTGTGTCTGTGACAGTACTACACTATCTTATGTCTGTGACAGTACTACACTATCTTGTGTATTTGACAGTACTACACTATCTTATGTCTGTGACAGTACTACACTATCTTATGTCTGTGACAGTACTACACTATCTTGATGTCTGTGACAGTACTACACTATCTTATGTCTGTGACAGTACACTATTACACAGTACTACACTACCTTATGTCTGTGACAGTACTACACTATCTTATGTCTGTGACAGTACTACACTATCTTATGTCTGTGACAGTACTACATCATTTTGTGTCTGTGACAGTACCACACCATCTTGTGTATGTGACAGTACTACACTATCTTGTGTCTGTGACAGTAATACACTATCTTATGTATGTGACAGTACTACACTATCTTGTGTCTGTGACAGTACTCACTATCTTGTGTCTGTAAAGTACTACACTACCTTATGCACGAACTCAGTATGTGAAGTAGTATATCAGTACTACACTATCTTATGTCTGTGACAGTACTACACTATCTTATGTCTGTGACAGTACTACACTATCTTGTGTATGTGACAGTACTACACTATCTTGTGTCTGTGACAGCACTACACTATCTTATGTCTGTGACAGTACTACACTATCCTGCGTCTATAAAAGTACTACACTACCTTATGTCTGTGAAAGTACTGCACGAACTTGACAGTATGTGAAGTAGTATATCAGTACTACACTATCTTGTGTCTGTGACAGTACTACACTATCTTATGTCTGTGACAGTACTACACTATCTTATGTCTGTGACAGTACTACACTATCTTGTGTCTGTGACAGTACTACACTATCTTATGTCTGTGACAGTACTACACTATCTTGTGTATGTGACAGTACTACACTATCTTGTGTATGTGACAGTACTACACTATCTTGTGTCTGTGACAGTACTACACTATCTTATGTCTGTGACAGTACTACACTATCTTATGTCTGTGACAGTACTACACTATCTTATGTCTGTGACAGTACTACACTATCCTACGTCTATAAAAGTACTACACTACCTTATGTCTGTGAAAGTACTGCACGAACTTGACAGTATGTGAAGTAGTATATCAGTACTACACTATCTTGTGTCTGTGACAGTACTACACTATCTTATGTCTGTGACAGTACTACACTATCTTGTGTATGTGACAGTACTACACTATCTTGTGTATGTGACAGTACTACACTATCTTGTGTCTGTGACAGTACTACACTATCTTATGTCTGTGACAGTACTACACTATCCTACCTCTATAAAAGTACTACACTACCTTATGTCTGTGAAAGTACTGCACGAACTTGACAGTATGTGAAGTAGTATATCAGTACTACACTATCTTGCATCTGAAGAACAACGCTATCTATGATAGTAACTTGAAAATGTGGTCAAAACTACAAGTGCACTAACAAGACTGCAGCTGGTAATGTCTTGGGTATCATATTTGTGTGAATTAGGGACATTTTAAAAAGAAAACAGGAACTAGAAGCTTACCTGCGGATCTAAATCTCGTGGGTTCAAATCCGAACAACGCCGAATTTTTTTTTAATGACTTTGTCTTTCAAAACCAGCCAGGCTCTAATAGGTACCAGTTAAGATCCTGGAAAGTAAAGGAGACCGGCAGGGTGTTGACCACACTCCCTCAGAGTGCCCATTGGTCCATAAATAAATGTGTGTATATATATATATATATATATATATATATATATATATATATATATATATATATATATATATATATATATATATATATATATATATACTAAATCAAGATAACGAATCAATATTCTAAAGTGGTACTCACTGATAGGCGGCGCTGTAACTGCATCGCTAGAGCCCGCCAATTGCCCAGATGGTAGTTGACTCGATAGAAGCCATACTGTTGGACATTGGCCAGGATCCAGCTAGCCAAATCAGTGGGTAATGGGATGATGCCATTGAAAGTCTCTGTTGAAAGATTAGAGATGACCTGGGTGTTTGCGAAGAATGTTTATGACAAGGTGGAATACACATTTCTGTCCTTTGCTCGTTTTCTGCTTTGTGCCGCTTGGCATCACAGGTTCACGGATAATCGATTTTCCGAGTTGGAACGCGCTCGGTTGCCCGGTTGGTTATGATGTTGTGGTGTCTCAAGATCGCCCCCTACATCTTGGTGTTTGTATTTTCATGTTGTACGCTCCTGTTGCTGGTATCATTCGATTGATTGTCGTTAAACGACCAAACCATTTCAGTGTTTTTTTTTTGTTTTTTTTTAATGAATTTAATTATAAGCTTTTGTTCCAATAGTTATGATAATTTCTCTGTTTCTCACATAATCTCTTCTATTTCTGTTGACGATCTTTCTCAAACATCTTATCTTCTAGGTGGTTAGTTTTCTGTCGTGTTCTCTAACTTGTCACTGAAAGCACAAGACTTGTATAAAGATTGCATCTATGATTTAACTGTATATATCTGTTGGTATAGCCGAGGGGTGTTTCAGAATTGGGATCAGTTTATGCGTGAAGAGCTGGCTTGTTGGATTCTTGTTTCAATTTCTGAATCTATTCTGTCATATGTAGAGATGCCCCTACTCCCTTTTCCCGGTGTATTTAAAGTGTTGAACTTGTTTTAAACTGTGATCTTGTATCTGAATGTCGATGATTGATGTTTTCTTGCTATACACATGACTTCTGTTTTGTCGATGTTTGTTTTCATATGTGTCTGAGGCAGCTGTCGTGTAGTTGGTTTATTTTGTCCTGTAGCTGATTTACTCGTTTGTGAAATAGAGACTGGCCGTCGACCAATATGATACATTTCAGGGTTCTTTGCAGTCACATAGTTTCGGTATTCATCCTGTGTTCTGAAGTTAGCAGACGGTATAGTAGAGGATGGCAGCTGCCGTGGTGAAGCGGCTAGACGCTCGCCTGCGGATCGGAAGGTAGTGGGTTCAGTTTCTGACAGAGCCTGACTTTTGTGTGTGTGTGTGTGTGTGAAACTGACCCTGGAATCCAGGTCGACACAGCCTTAGATGGGTACGTGGTAAAGTCCTGGGATATAAAGGCGGTCGGTGCCATACCGACCAAATGAAAGTATGGTCCTGAAATCGCATGCTCTGGTTGTGAAGAAATTTACTTGACGCGAGCGGATCTTGCTAGTTACACTCGCCGTCGCCATGGGTCATGATTCCCACGCATCTCTGTAACACAACCTAACACTGGAAAGACGGAAAGGTGCCAGTGGGTGAACACAATAATCAAAGCCTATCTATAAAGTAATTTCATATTCATGAATTACTAGATTTTATAAAGCAATTACTAATACGTTACACACATACACGAAGTAGTGTCTCCGCAGGGTCAGAGGAGTTATGGGAGGCATGGGAAAAACAAAATCACTATTTCCTATTTCGGTATTCACCAATTTTTGTTTCTAGTCGGCTCAGTGATGTTAACAACCATTAGAATGATGTTATTATGAAGTATACTGTTCAAAACAAAATAAAAAAAATTATTTTAAAAAAAAACACACACACACACGCATAGTTATCGAATGGCCCTTTAGTGACAACATCAACACGCCTAGTTACTGGGGGGGGGGGGGAAACTTGTCAATATTTTAACATCAAAAATCGTTTAAATTTAATGAGTGAGACTGTTCAAATTGTACACAAGAATACCTTTGGGCTCAATCTTTTGTTAGCATCCAGGTCATCAATAGCTTATAAACGTGCAGGTTTTCCTCTCATCTAATAAAAATCACGCCATCAGACAACTCAGGTTTTTTTTTTTTTTTTAAATATTTTAACAGTAGATATTGTTGTATGTTGATCATAATGGTGTACTTACTGGCTGGTTCCTCCTTGTAGATCCACTGGACATGGTTGTTGCTGTTGTTGAATTGTGGGTTTTTACTTGAGGTAAACGTCAGAGGTATAGACCAGCGATAGCTAAACATTTGCAGACGTTAACAATCGCACATGAGCAGGTCAGATCTTGCAATCATATATCAGTAAAGATCTAATATAATCTTACAACAATAAAAAAATTACTTTATCTGTAGTTACTGATACAGTTCTACCTTGGAAAACGTTCGCTTTGATATACGTTTATCTTTGTATATGTCCCCCTTAGAGATAACTTTTTAGCTTAGTATACAGCCTGTGTTTGCAATAGGAACTTGTTTCAGCCAAGATTAGTCAAGACACGGCGTGCTGCCTTTTCTTCTATCTCTCAAGAGAAAGCCATGGATGGATGTCAATGACTTCTAGAGATATACAAAGCAAAGATGTAATATCATTGTAAGGAGTGACAGCACAATGTCACATTTCCGAAATATCCTGAAGAGAAGGTAGGAGCAAAATATTTTAGGCATATTGTTAGTGACCCCTGATGAGCCGCACGTAGGTCAAAGTAGCAAAAAGAGACAGGGCCGGAAAAAAAAAAAGAACGATTAAAAAAATTTGATTGCTGAACTTTTATTGGAAGGGTATTCACCTTCTCATGAGATCCCCTGCTCCTGCCTTCTCAGTGGCATCCTGGTAGACACTCGACTCGTCCCAGGCAGGTCAGGTGAGGTCACGTTTTCCTTTCTCTGATCTAACTGATTTTTTTTATTTATGTATTAGGCAGCAAATAAATTATTTTCTGCAACGCCCATATGTGTATAATGTGCCAATATTATTTATGTTTCATGAGAACGGAATAATCATTCTCCCTTTATTTGTTTATAGAAAATTTGGTTTGATATACGTACTGTTTAGTCCAATATTATTTTTGTTTCATGAGAACGGAATAATCATTCTCCCTTTATTTGTTTATAGAAAATTTGGTTTGGTATACGTACTGTTTAGTATAAGTTTCATAACATGTAACGAGGAAAGAGAAGTGCTTAGGGGTTCGTAGCGAAAGCCAGTGGAAAATCTTTAGTGCAAGACAGCCTAGCATACGACACCACAACATCTAGCATAAGAGTGGAGGTGGAGGCGATAACTGCAGCTCTCCGGTGGCTAGAGAACAAGATGCGTACACATGTCGTAATTGTAACAGACTCGGAAGGCATGCTGATAAAGGTGAAGACAGGGATGCTTCGAGCAGAGTGGCAAGCTTCACTTGGGAGGTCAAGGGTAGTGAGCATACTTTTAAGCTTTTTTTTTTCAGGCCTTGCCGGCGTAGTGGCTAATAAACAGGCAGACAGATTGACTGAATCTGCACCACAGGGTGGTGAACTGATACGTGACAAAACAGATGTGCTCAATGCCCTTTGAGAACAAGCAATGGAATCAGTAGAGAAAAAGGACTATTTTGGCCTGGAGAGTATGAGGCACCTGGGTGTAACCAGAAGGTATTGTCGGCTCATTACCCTCAGAGGAAGGCCAAGACGGACTTTTAACCAGATTGTGACCGGTACCATCAGCATTGACATTCTGCGCTGGTTGCTAAAGATAAGGATGGAGCAGGCATGGGAATGCCCCGAGTGCTGTAATAACGATTCTTCACTCAACGTATACCGAGGCACCACTGCATGTTGTATGTCATGACTTAACATTGTTATCACTTCTGGCGGTGACCAGATGCTGGGATGATGCTGACCACATCGCCCATCTGATGCCCCATATGCCTAAAGGCGTGGGAAAGGGTCCTTAACTTTACTCACTACTTTGTTAATGTTATGAACAGGTTTTTTTATTTCACTTGTTCATATCTCTCCCCCTCTTTTTAAATACAACTTCTCACTTATTTCGTTCCGTACTGTAGCTCTTGATATTCCATAATTACTACATACTCCTTGATTTTATATTAACTTTAGTTGTTCAGTCTCTACTGTTTTGTCCATCGAGTTTTCCAGTCACGGTATGTGTTGTACTTAGTACCCATTCGATGAAGACTTTGGTCGAAACGTTAGTTTGTACTTGCAACTTTTTTGTTCCCTCTGCGCTTTCAACTCATATTCTATGGTGTAGTCAACACTTTGTGTAAATAACTCAACCGGTAATCCCTTTTTTACGTCAAAGACGTGGGAAGCTGATAAATGAAGAGATAAGGCAGGTAGCACTCACTTGTATGGGGACCTGTGTCTGCCAGGGTCGGAAACATTAAGATCTGTCAGAAATCGCTCCTGTGTGACATGCAGCATGCTGGGGTTGTTGAAGTCTCTTGTCACTGTGACCAGAGGGTAGTTCATCTGAAGTATCCAAGTGTCCATGATCTCTTTCACCTGGATCTTCTTGCCATCAGATGCCGCTTGCTGGAGACAACGTCCACGTTAGCTTTTCTTTCTTACTGACATGTTGTCTGTTCGCTTGTATTTCTCACTAGTGTCTGCAGACTGTTTCTATGGGGTGTTTTATAAGAGATCGCAACAAAGGCATACTGGATGGCAGAAAGGCAGATATTTAGAAATATGACTAAAACGATTACCACATAGGTCATATGTGTTCCGCTTGTGTGTGTCTGTGTATGAATAAGCAGAAATAAACAGTGATGACCAAAGGTGTAGGACTTTAAAACAACTTTAACTCAAATGGAAGCGAACGCTTCACAGAAGAAAATAACCATTTCCTTCTCTTCCTGTCACGTTGGTGGATATACTCTTTCTAATGCGCCAATACTTGGCCAGCTAAGCACTAGCACAGCGACCAATACTTGGCCAGCTAAGCACCAGCACCAGCACAGCGACCAATACTTGGCCAGCTAAGCACTAGCACAGCGACCAATACTTGGCCAGCTAAGCACTAGCACAGCGACCAATACTTGGCCAGCTAAGCACTAGCACAGCGACCAATACTTGGCCAGCTAAGCACCAGCACCAGCACAGCGACCAATACTTGGCCAGCTAAGCACTAGCACAGCGACCAATACTTGGCCAGCTAAGCACCAGCACCAGCACAGCGACCAATACTTGGCCAGCTAAGCACTAGCACAGCGACCAATACTTGGCCAGCTAAGCACCAGCACAGCGACCAATACTTAGCCAGCTAAGCACCAGCACCAACAGAGCGACCAATACTTGGCCAGCTAAGCACCAGCACAGCGACCAATACTTGGCCAGCTAAGCACTAGCACAGCGACCAATACTTGGCCAGCTAAGCACTAGCACAGCGACCGATACATGGCAAGCCAAGCACCAGCATAAATCAGCAAATACCCGCAGGAATAGGGGGAAAAGAAAACCAAACCATATCCGGATCCCAAAAACCACACCAGACTTAGGAGACAAAGAAAGGGAAACTCATGTGTTATTTCACACCACACAGAATAGGAACCCAAATAAGATAGGCAAGAACCACTTCTATATAACAGACTGTCAGGCTCTTGTAAGTGGAGGGAACTTGTAGTTTCTGTTCTCATAAAGGAAATCGGAACTAGGAATCAGTATCTCTAGCTACTTACATAACAATAAATTATTCGTTCCTGTGTGAGAGCACCATAAGGTCCGAACAGTAAGTAAGAAACGTGCAAGAAGATACCCGTGCATCTATTTGTTGCATAATTGTCGTGGTTTTTTTTTTTTTCAGGTTCAGCTGATGATATTTCCTGACGAATATCCGGTTCTGCATTTAATCGGTTTCTGTGTTTTATTGTGTAAGCTGTATAAGCGCAAGAAGTCAAGAATAGTTATCTAATCTTACTTCCTCAACTGAGACAAGAAAAATTATTCTCAACATCTATCTAAATAATATCCTGATACAGGAAAGGCAATCATGGACAGTTCGTAGATTAGTGACAAATTATTTTGAAGCAGCGGAGATGTGGTTTTATAGACGAATGATGAGAACACCCTGGACAGATAAAAACAGTAATAAAGATATCTTAAAGAAAACTGACTCGCGAAGAGTAGTAATTGCTATCATCAGAAGGAGACAATCTATATTCTTTGGTCACGTGATGACCTCGTGACATGGAAGATCATCTGTGTCAGAGTTGACTGAAAGTACACGGGACCGAAGATCGTGGACAGACATGACTACCAACGCTATACGGCATGGACCAGAAAAAGAGAAGCGTAGAAAACTCGCATCACAGAGATGTGTAGATGGGAACGGCTACGATATGAAATTCCCTTGCTCAGACAAGATTTTGATTTCATCTTGTCTATGAGGACAACATAATGGTTTTTAACGTGGTTTTAACTTCGCTGTGAATTTTCAAATCTATGAGGGCTGGGTTAATGCTGAATGCTTTTGTGTTCAGTACCCTTTAGTAATCGTTCCGCACTTTTTTTTATGTTGGCAAATAAGGCTCAAACGAATCTTGCAAAGCTTAGAAGATGGCCTGAATATTTGTCCCCTTGAACCGTGATGTTATTCTCATAGCAAGTTTCTTTATAACAGGAAAGCGTCGTTTGTAAAATTGACCAAGGCAAATTTCCTTTCAAAATATAATTGCTCGTTTTATTATTGTGATTTTACTGTTTAGTCTTTAATTATATTCAATTAGTTTTCAGGAAGCGGCGATGGGGCCAGTGGCAATGATATTCTATTTCCGATTGTATGAATAGGGACTAGTGGTACTTTTGATTTATTGTGGAAGATGGTTCCACAACTGAGCTGGGGAGCATACTAGGAAAGAGGGGAAGATATAGAAAGAGATAAAGAGAGACAGAGAGACGGAAAGACACAGAGAGTAACAAAAAGACAGAGACAAGCTAAGAGAGAGACAGACAGAGAAAAAACAGAGAAAGCGAGAGACACAGGGAGACAGAGACGGAGAGAGAAAGAGAGAGAGAGAGAGAGAGAGAAAGAAAGAGAGAGAGAGAGAGAGAGAGAGAGAGAGAGAGAGAGAGAGAGAGAGAGAGAGAAAGAGAGAAAACGAACTTATCACATTAACAACATTTACCTCAGTCAACACACTCCAGAGATCATCATGGGTGGCTGTTCCAAATGAATACTTTTTGAGATATTTCTGAAAGTTTAACAGCCACACAAAAATTGTTTCTAGCTGCTGTAAAATAGTCTGACTCAACCTCTTCTTTAACGTCAGAAAACTCACATTTCTGGTTTAGAAACTCCCAGTTTAATCTGCATCCGATGCAAATGCGAAATCTTGAGCATTCAGTATTTTTTTTTTTTTTTAAGTGTAAATTTTTGTTTTCTGGTAACACAATATTTTATTGGGCTAATCGAAGATTATAATTCCTCGTTACGCCTCTGTTGCGACAGACTCACCCACTGAAGCTCTTCTATACATTCCTAAATATATCGGTTCGAACTAGTTGACCTATAAACTTGCCAACAGGGAAGAGTATTTTTTTTTTTAACAGTTGTCGACACGTATTTTGTTTTTTAAGTCCGCCACCAGAGACTGTCTATCAATATTGGAATTTGTCCGCAACACGTGTTTCACTAGTATGATCGAAGATATGGCTAAAATATTTCAGCTCCCAGACAAAATGCGGTTTATTAGCCAATTTTCCTTGATGTTTGGAATTTTTAGAATATCAAAATGTTTTCCCAGTGTATTGTTACAATTTTTTATAGCATTTCAGCGTGCGTGCGTGTGTGTGTGTGTGTGTGTGTGTGCGCGTGTATGTGTGGGCGTGTGCCTGTATGTCTGTGTGTTAGTTCATACAGCTTTGGATACAAATAACGATAACAAAGCATTTGAAATAATAGTTTGTACACATTATTCAGCAGATCCTTCACATAATATTAGCCGGCTCTGTGATGTTCAGAGCAAGTAAGTACCCGGCTCTTTGATGTCCAGGGTAAGTAAATACCCAGGCTCTTTGATGTACAGGGCAAGTGAGTACCCGGCTCTTTTATGTTCATGGCAAGTTAGTACCCGGTTCTGTGATGTGCAGGATAAGTACCCGGCTTTTTTATGTGCATGGCACGTGAGTACCTGGCTCTGTGATGTCCAGGGTAAGTGAGTACTCGGCGCTGTGATGTCCAGGGTAAGTGAGTACCTGGCTATGTGATGTCCACGGTAAGTGAGTAACCGGCTCTGTAGTGTCCAGGGTAAGTGAGTACCTGGCTCTGTGATGACCATGGTAAGTGAGTACCCGGCTCTGTGATGTCCAGGGTAAGTGAGTACCTGGCTCTGTGATGTCCAGCGTAAGTGAGTACCCGGCTCTTTGATGTCCAGGGTAAGTGAGCACCTGGCTCTGTGATGTCCAGGGTAAGTGAGTACACGGCTCTGTGATGTGCAGTATAAGTACCCGGCTCTGTGATGTGCAGGATAAGTACCCGGCTCTGTGATGTGCAGGATAAGTGAGTACCTAGCTCTCTGATGTGCAGGGTAAGTGAGTACCTGGCTCTGTGATGTCCAGGGTAAGTGAGTACCTGGCTCTGTGATGTGCAGGGTAAGTGAGTACCCGGCTCTGTGATGTGCAGTATAAGTACCCGGCTCTGTGATGTGCAGGATAAGTACCCGGCTCAGTGATGTGCAGGATAAGTGAGTCCCAAGCTCTGTGATGTGCAAGGTAAGTGAGTACCCAGCTCTGTGATGTCCAGGGTATGTGAGTACCCGGTTCTTTGATGTACAGTATAAGTACCCAGCTCTGTGATGTGCAAGAGAAATACCTGGCTCTGTGATGTGCAGGATGAGTACCCGGCTCTGTGATGTGCAGGGTAAGTGAGTACCTGGCTCTGTGATGTACAGGGTGAGTGAGTACCCGGCTCTGTGATGTCCAGGGTAAGTGAGTACCTGGCTCTGTGATATGCAGTATAAGTACCCGGCTCTGTGATGTGCAGGATAAGTACCCGGCTCTGTGATGTGCAGGGTAAGTGAGTACCTAGCTCTGTGATGTCCAGGATAAGTGAGTACCCAGCTCTGTAATGTCCAGGGTAAGTGAGTACCCATCTCTGTAATGTCCAGGGTAAGTGAGTACCCATCTCTGTAATGTCCAGGGTAAGTGAGTACCCAGCTCTGTAATGTCCAGGGTAAGTGAGTACCCAGCTCTGTAATGTCCAGGATACGTACACGGCTCTGTGATGAGCAGGGTAAGTGTGTACCGGCTCTTTGATGTCTAGCGTGAATGCCCGGCCCTGTAATGTCTAGGGTAAGTGAGTACCCGGCTCTGCGATGTCCAGGATGCGTACCCGGCTCTGCGATGTCCAGGGTAAGTGAGTACCCGGCTCTTTGATGTCCAGGGTAAGTGAGTACCCAGCTCTGTGATGTCCAGGGTAAGTGAGTACCTGGCTCTTTGATGTCCAGGGTAAGTGAGTACCTGGCTCTGTGATGTCCAGTGTAAATAAGTAAACGGTTCTTTGATGTCCAGTGTAAGTGAGTACCTGGCTCTGTGATGTCCAGGGTAAGTGAGTACGCGGCTCTGTGATGTCCAGTGTAAGTGAGTACCTGGCTCTGTGATGTGCAGTATAAGTACCCGAGTCTGTGATGTGCAGTATAAGTACCCAGCTGTGTGATGTACAGGATAATTACCTGGCTCTGTGATGTGCAGGATAGGTACACGGCTCTGTAATGTGCAGGGTAAGTGAGTACCCGGCTATGTGATGTCAAGGGTAAGTGAGTACCCGGCTCTGTGATGTGCAGGATAAGTATGCGGCTCTGTGATGTGCAGGGTAAGTGAGTACCCGGCTCTGTTATGTCTTGGGTGAATGCCCGGCACTGTAATGTCCAGGGTAAGTGAGTACCCGGCTCTGCGATGTCTAGGATGCGTACCCGGCTTTGCGATGTCCAGTGTAAGTAAGTACCCGGCTCTGTGATGTCCAGTGTAAGTTAGTACCCGGCTCTGCGATGTGCAGTGTAAGTAAGTACCCGGCTCTGTGATGTCCAGGATGAGTACCCGGCTCTGTGATGTCCAGTGTAAGTAAGTACCCGGCTCTCTGATGTCCAGATTAAGTGAGTACACTGCTCTGTTGCTAACAACAGATAACACGGAAGAGGTGTCTGCTTGTCTCTAAGTCCCCAAGACCGCATTACCCGCACTGGAATGTGTTTCATTCTTCACCGCTTGGAGCTGTGGTTGGGTTTCCCCCCTTCATGGAAACGTGAGGCCAGATTGTCATATCCCACGCTTTCTTGGACTCTATTACTTTGACCAGTAATATTCAAATATTCATAATGAGGGAGCCACCCTGAAGAGAAAATAATTGTGTACAAGTATGAGTATGTATTGTGTATAAGTGTGAGTGTGAATGGTGTATAAGTATGAGTATGAATGGATAATAGTCGTAAATATAATTTTTGGGGGAACCAGTACGGTGGCTGAAATAACATGATGTAAACATTTGTTTGTATCACATGAGTGCCTCGCTCAAGACTGTGACGGCCTGTTTGTGTGGTCGCTTCTGTCAGCTGCCTTGTGTGTTTAGAGTTTAGAGCATTCGTGTGCTATTGGCTGCGCTACGACTGCAGTCTGTTTTATGTTTCACAAGACACAGATATGAGCATTCTCTGTGGCTCAGTGAAGAGCAGTCCGTGTTGTTTTCGTTGGCACAGGAACAGCGTAGCTTTGGGAAGACCAGTTTGACGGGAAGCTGGAGCTGTGGTTGCCTGAGTGGCTAACCAAATCTGTGGCAATATTACCCACTGAAGTACTGGCATCGCATTTACCTGTCAGGTCCATGATTCAGCTTGGAATGGACACAAAAAGCATTTTATACTTTTTCTATTTTAAATTCGCTCGGGTTTCACAAATTGTAAAGCCTAGTGGAATCTTCGTTTGCCTCTTGTGGTCGTATTCGCCCACTACAAAACTAGTGAGCAAAAACTAGACTCATTCTTTTGTGTTTATAGACTTCCTCGATGAATTCTCAAGAGATACCTACATCAAGCTTTGTTATTTTGGTCAGCGTGTGAGCGATAACAGCATACGCCTACTGCTGGAATTAGCTACCCTATAAGTGTATTGACTAAATGCTTACTTTCTGGTAGGAGATGACATCAAAGAGCTCTTGAATTCCACCTTGATTTTGAACTTGGACATGCACAGGGTGTGACTGGACTTGGCTGTCATAACTCAAAGCTACATGCATTTCTTCGACAGGAAACATTTCCAGCTATGGATGATCAAAATAAAAACAAGTCTACGAATCCGTTGTGCAGCATAGCCGACGCCATTCTCTATTTTATGTGCTAGTTGACACCGCTATAGACCGGGCACTATTATAGCTCTGTCAGTCATCGGATACCATTAATGACCCGCCGGCGGCCATATCTGCACTGTAACATTGATAGTAACAATTATTGATTGGAACATCTTGGATTATTGTACTAAGTTAAATAACTGACTATGTCAGTGACTGGACTATGTGAAATAGTTGACTATGTCAGTGACTGGACTATGTGAAATAGTTGACTATCTCAGTGACTGGACTATGTTCAATAGTTGACTATGTCAGTGACTGGACTATGTTAAATAGTTGACTATGTCAGTGATCGGAATATGTAAAATAGTTGACTATGTCAGTGACTGGACTATGTGAAATAGTTGACTATGTCAGTGACTGGACTATGTGAAATAGTTGACTATGTCAGTGACTGGACTATGTGAAATAGTTGACTATGTCAGTGAATGGACTATGTGAAATAGTTGACTATGTCAGGGACTGGACTATGTGAAAAAAGTGACTGGACTATGTGAAATAGTTGACTAGTCAGTGAATGCACTATGACACAGATTGTAGCATAACAATAATGGCCAAATATTATTAATTGCACGATTGGCTGGATACCGTCAATGTCAGGACTATGGCATTGGTCAGACACTGTCAATGTCAGGACTATGGGATTGGTCAGACACTGTCAATGTCAGGACTATGGGATTGGTTGGACACTGTCAATGTCAGGTCTATGGGATTGGTTGGACATTGTCAATGTCAGGACTATGGGATTGGTTGGACACTGTCAATGTCAGGACTATGGCATTGGTCAGACACTGTCAATGATCGGACTATTGCATTGGTTGGAAGAAGCATTCTGTTTGGTTCACGACAGATTAGCTGGTGCTGTAATAATGGTTTGACTTGATGCGTGACAATCTACATGTGGTCCATGCAATTTTGGGAGCAAGTGAACGATGCAGAATCCTGGACAATATCATCACGAAGTGGAAAGTAAGGTGCGGCGATGTATGACCAAGGAAGCTGGTTGACATGAATGACCAAGGAAGCTGGTTGACATGAATGACCAAGGAACCCGGTTGACATGAAAGACCAAGGAACATGGTTGACATGAATGAACAAGGAACCTGGTTGACATGATGACCAAGGAACCTGGTTGACATGAATGAACAAGGAACCTGGTTGACATGAATGACCAAGGAACCTGGTTGACATGAATGACCAAGGAACCTGGTTGACATGAATGACCAAGGAACCCGGTTGACATGTATGACCAAGGAACATGGTTGACATGAATGACCAAGGAACCTGGTTGACATGTATGACCAAGGAACCTGGTTGACTTGAATGACCAAGGAACATGGTTGACATGAATGAACAAGGAACCTGGTTGACATGAATGACCAAGGAACCTGGTTGACATGAATGACCAAGGAACCTGGTTGACATGAATGACCAAGGAACCTGGTTGACATGAATGAACAAGGAACCTGGTTGACATGAATGAACAAGGGACCTGGTTGACACTCTACACTCAGAGGAAAGGCAGGACAGACATACAATCAAACTATTACTGGTACAATAGGAAATGGAATTCTTCGCTGAATGCTAAAAGAAGGATGGAGCACGTACCAAGCTGTCCCTAGTGCTGTGATTTCGGTTCTGAAATCCATTCAAGTCTGCTCAGTATGGCCCGCAAATAATATTAATAAAATCTGAATTGTTCTTAGCAGGGAGAAAGTGGGCACCCTATTCCTGCTGTTTGCTTTGCCGAGTGCTACCTGGGGTTTCTATAGTCGAGCCGAGTGCTGGGGTTTCTATAGTCAAGCCGAGTGCTACCTGGGGTTTCTATAGTCGAGGTTTCAACACGTGGGCTTCTATATCACCACAGTGAGGTTTTTCCCATGAAATGTCCCTCATTGTAGATTTTGAAAAACTGGTAAACAAACAATTAGACCCTACGCAATCAAGAAATATGCGCACGCACTAAAGACATATTGTAGTTGCTATGGAAGCCAAAGCCAACAGTCACCACCAGAAATGAAGGTTGTCGTTGATAGAAGTAGTAGGACAACATAAGCTGGCTATTCACAGGTAAAATGATTACATTAGGTGTTTCACCAGCCCACCCGTAAACTGGCTACTAGCCATATTGAATTACACGACTCAGCCGCTGCACAAATGATAGGTATTCCACATGAAAAACACAGCTCACAGTGCTGCAATAAGCACTAAACTCAGGCAGCGAAACCGTAGATTACTGTACAAATATAAAAACATAAATGGCAAAGCTCTGTTGGAATGAAAAATAACTTCGAAGCTAAACATTGTGCCATGCCTATTCCTTCAGTTTGGACTTGCAGTCTCTAGGGTGTCTACCGAAGGTGGGTGACCTACCATTCTCCAATCAGGATGTGCGTTGTCCACTCCGAGATATGATACGAAAGTTGCAAATGCCTCGTTGAGAAAAATGTCGCTCCACCATGACATGGTCACCAGGTTGCCAAACCACTGGGGGGGGGGGGGGGGGGGTAAGTCATATGATAGATTAGTACAGCAAAAAAAAAAAAGCATAGATCATTTTTTTTAGGAATGGGCAGATAAAGACTTTATAAAATAAGAATAAACAAAATACTTACAAATATATTGTATCATTGATTTGACTGTATCTTATCAGAAGCAAACTGCAGAACTTTCGTTAACTTTTAACATATACATTGGAACCTCGCTTAACGAGCATAATTCGTTCCAGAATCATACTCGTTAAGAAAAACACTCGTTATGCGAAACAATTGTTCTCATATAAATTCATGTAAAATAACATAATGCGTTCCATGTAAAAAGAATTACTCAAAAAATACTAAGAATAAGGTTTATTCAAAGAAAATTATATACATATTGTCAAGGAGAGTGAATCATCTATATCTTTTCTTGAAACTCGGAACGAACCCACTTGGAATGCGAATTCGATCTGCGGAAAAGAAGTCGAAATAATTATGATGTATAGCTAATTATTTTTTTATTTTTTTTACTAGAAAGATGTCCAGAGACATTTGTTTTTACTAGAAAGATGTCCAGAGACATTTGTTTTTACTAGAAAGATGTCCAGAGACATTTGTTTTTACTAGAAAGATATCCAGAGACATTTGTTTTTGCCGACGCTTCAAAATTTGACAAAAATGCGACACAGCATTATCATTCTATAAATTTGCAGCGCGCATAGACAATTCCTTATTAGGGCGATGCTTCTCAATGAAAGATGCAACAGTTTCCCATGCTTTCAGCATTTCTCGTATTTCGCTAGAAGATTGTTGCTTTTCTGTTACCTACTCCTCCCTCTCTGACAAACATTCCTCCAAAACTTCTTGCAGTGAAACACAAAGCAACTCCATAAGCTCTTCGGTGGTCAGCTCTTGCCTGTGCTCTTCCACAAGCTCTTCGATATCACTGTTATCCACCTACAATCCCATGATAGTGACCAAAGACACAATCTCGTTGACTACAGGTTCCACAGGTTCAGTCTCGAACCCCTCAAAGTTATAAATCGACAACGCTCTCCGGCCAAAGCTTCTTCCAAAAAGAAGTTCGGGTTCTCTTGGTAACCTCTTCCCCTGCCTTGTCGATCATCTTGAGGCAGGCAACGATGTGGAAGTGATTTTTCCAAAACTCTCTGAGAGTGGCTAAGTCGATGCAAACGCTTCGTAATGCCAGGATGCCAGGTTCGATCCCAACTGCAGGTCATGCGCCTTGCGTTGGTTTCGACAGTGGTATCAAGAAAGCCGACCGTCCACAGGCACTGGCAAACTACTGGACGTAAATTTGCCTAGAAAAACAGCCAGGGAGTTTTGGGGTTGGTTCTGCAACGTCCTGTAAAGGATACGCAACTAACCTATGGTTAGTTGGTTTTTGTCGCTATTGTTTTTACTATATGAGGTAGCCAACCCCATGCCCAAACTTACCCTTAATCGCCTCCTACGACATGCTTAGTAGGGTGCATTGTCACTATTCTTTGCTTCCCGTGAGGGCCCCGGTGAGACAGCGTTGATAACATAAGGTAGGATACATCGCTTGAAACAATTTTAAGGTTTGCCCACCACTTCAGCACTTTTATCATCTCGTATGCGTCCAATGATCAACTGATGATCATTGCTCCCTCTACATGCACTGTCTGCAGTCCCTCTAACCTAGTGGTCTACAACCTTGAGTATATGACATGTTCTCCCCCTTCCCCCCCCCTTTTTTTTAACATATGGTGAGACATCTTACCCCCGCCTCCTTTTTCCCTTAAGTATATGGCAAGACCCTTCCGCCTCCCCTTGCCCCCCCCCCCCTCTCCCCCGAGTATATGGCGAGATCTCCCACGCAGCCCCACGACTCCTCCCCTCAACGTAACAGAATGGGATTAAGAAGATAAAGACTATATATTCTGCAACACGATAAACATAAAGTATGAGATAATTTTGGCTAAAATTTGTGCCTAATCTATAATTCAATGCGCGTGTTAAGATATTAATTAGATTTTTTACGATAGATGTACAAACTGCTCATCAAAATAAACATGTCCTTGTAGTTTTGTTTAGTAACTACTTTTTAAATAAAAAAACTATAATTAAACTCAACCGGTAATTAAAACGGATTACTGCGAGTACAGATAAACTCGCTTTCAAAAAAACATGACGCCATCGGTCCCAAAAACCTGCGTGTGCCCCCCCCCCCCCCCCCCGAGGATGGAGACTACTGCTTTAGGCAATGTTCCCAAGTGACAACTGCTTCAGCAGACTAGATCCAAACAGCATTAAAGAATTCTTTGTCTTATCTCCAGTGTCATGGATGTATGATATAAAATATTCTCTTTTTTTTTTTTAAGCGCAGTTTTTACCTGTCCTTTTCTTTTCGTTTTCTCTGTGATACACCTGCCGTCGGATGTTATCCATTTGCCTGGATACTTAACTCTATGAACTTATCCTAAACTAACGCCCTTGTCATGTGCGTTTAATAATGTAAGTAATATTCTTCTCTTGGATATCGCAGTTGCTTCTGTCTTCTCATTATTCAAGCTGAGATCAATTCTTTCACTTTCTACAACCATGACAGCTATTAGTTCATGTAGTTCTTTCTGTTATGACAACCAGCGGCAACTACTGGCATATCCATGAAAGATCTGATTTTTTATTTACATAGATATAAATGAGAAGTACTTGACATGTTAGTTCATGAGAGACTGTCTCTAGAGAACAAAGAGATAGGGATATAAACGAGAAGCTCTGCTAGATGTGCTAGTTCATGAGAGACTGTCTTTAGAGAACAAATAGCTAGAGATATAAACTAGAAGTGCTACCTGTTGTGTTAGGTCATGACAGAATGTCTTTAGAGAACAAAGAGCTAGAGATATAAACGAGAAGTACTTGTGTTAGTTCACGAGAGACGTTCTTAGAGAACAAAGAGCTAGACATATAAACGAGAAGTGCTACCTGTTGTGTTAGTTCATGAGAGACTGTCTTTAGAGATCAAAGAGCTAGAGATATAAACGAGAAGTACTTGTGTTAGTTCATGAGAGACGGTCTTAGAGAACAAAGAGCTAGACATATAAACGAGAAGTACTACCTGTTGTGTTAGTTTATGAGAGACTGTCTTTAGAGAACAAAGAGCTAGAGATATAAACGAGAAGTACTACCTGTTGTGTTAGTTCATGAGAGACTGTCTTTAGAGAACAAAGAGCTAGAGATATAAACGAGAAGTACTTGTGTTAGTTCATGAGAGACTGTCTCAGAGAACAAACAGATAGAATAAACGAAAAGTACTTGATATGTTATTTCATAAGAGACTGTCTTTAGAGACAAAACAGAGATATAAACGAGGAGTACTACCTGGTGTGTTAGTTCATGAGACACTATTGTGGCCACTCGTTTCTTGTGCTTGTGGCTGGAAACGCCGTCTTCATACAGCATGTTAGGTTCTCTGCAAGAAGAATTAGTCAAAAAGTGTAACTGTTACCAAGAGGTAATTCTACACGGGATCTGAGCATGTTGTGAGCTGCGTGTCCACATCACTGCTAGGAATGTTAGAACTGGGAGCACAGATCGACACAACCAAGCATGAGAGGTACTCTGGACGTACAAGAAGCCTTGTTAACCAGCAACGAAGTGGCATAATGTACGCTAATGTATATGTTGAAGTGGGAATCTGAGCACCCGTGGACGTGTCCGAAGTGCAATATCTTGGATCATGTATCCTTCATCCGTGGATATTCAGTCCAGGCGTCTAGACTGAAAATTCTGTATGTATACAAGTTAGTCGACCGATTATTTTCCTGGCAAATCGAAGAAATCCATAACTGCTCGGATCCCATCTTCAGCGTATCCCCTCAGCGTGTGACAACTGATCAAACCAGTTCTGTTCTGGTCGACTGTTTTTCTGTATGTGAAATTCAGTGACGTCATCCAACAGATGCAGACATCAGAAAGAGATTTACTTGATGATTCAGACTAAAAAAAAAAAAAAACCAGCATCTCACAGTCTAATAGTTAATAATTAAAGGCTGACACAAAAACACCTGAATCAGAATTCGATGGTACTGAATACACAAGACAACAGATGCTAATGAATGACACGGTCATATCTGATTACATTGCGCAGATTGTACTGTAAGTAGCAGCAGCAGTAGTAATTGTTGTTGTAATAATAGCCATAGTAGTAGCAGCAGTAGTAGCAGGAGTAGATATTGTTGTTGTCGTCGTAGTAGTAGTACTAGTAGTAGGAATTATAGTAATAGTAACAGCAGCATCAGCAGTAGTATTGTTTTTGGTGTTGTAACGGTGGTGGTAGCAGTAGCGATTGTAACAACAGCAGCATTAGTAGAAGTAGCCATATTAGCTGCAGCCGCCAGTAGCAATTGTAACAAAAGTAGCAGTGGAAGTAGACACGGTAGTAGTAGTAGTAGCAGTAGAATAGTAGCCGGTAATATTTGGTTACAAGGACATCATCAGAAAGACCGCCATCCACTTACTTGTAAGTAATGAGTCCCCAGTTTTCCATAGCTCCGAACCCAAAGTGAGGTATGGCAATCATGTCTGAAAGACATGCGAAACAATAATGAGATCTTTGACTGATGCCACAAGAGACACAGGTAGGGTTATAAACACTATCATCTTATGATATGTTCCATGAAACTACGTAACAATGATCCAACCCTTGGCCGACGTCGTTGTATGGTTCTAGACAACAGTATACCATATATACTTTAGAGAGGTATGGGGATCACCGCATAAGGAAATTGCTAGGATGGTTAGCAAGGCCAGCCCGCGACAAGATAATTCTTCCTCAACAAATGCATGCGATTACAGGGTTATTGTTGACACACCATGTTTGGTTTCCTTTTAAAGGGTCCTTTACTTTACTAATGTCCAAATCTCGCCTTTACTACCCATAATATTGTCTAGTACCCATTAGGTTTGGTCGACTTCAAAAACCAGGATATTGGGAAAAGAACCCATCTAAACATTGATTAGATTGCAGGATTTCAACGCAGTTAATTAGGCTTTTTATCCATCATTTATACTGTCATCCACTCACTCGTTGCATCATGCCACCAGGAAAACATAACGTTAACACAAAACAAAACATAACAAATTAATAACAATACTTATCTTGAATTGGAACGAATAAACCAGGAATAACTTAGAGGCAACGGAGTTGTTGATACCTTGGGCAAGAATAGATTGACAATGATCGCAGTGGGGTAGCGTGGGGTGGGAGAGGGTTTAGGTAGCAAAATTAGTGGAGACTATTATGACGACTGGCGAGATTGTATACAACCATTCCGTGTGGGTCCCGGGACCCCGTTGTTGGGAAAAGAAGGAAACATCCACTGTCTCCCGAACGAGCATGTTGAAAGAGTCGACTAATTAAGGGTTTCCTTAGAAGTCGGAGTGCATATGCATCATTAGACACAAGTAACCGACGGTCTCCAAACAAAAAAGCTAGATCTGTGAAACGGATGTGCACGCAGCACTCAAATTCTGGAAAAATAATAAATTGAAGAAATAGATCAATAACTAGAAAGTTCCGACGAAGTTTACATCAGGCGAACTCGAAGAAGAAGCAGAAATATAGAAACACACACAGAGAAATAAAATAGAAACCAGAAAGAGAGAAATAAAATAGAAACCAGAAAGAGAGAAATAAAATAGGAACCAGAAAGAGAGAAATAAAATAGGAACCAGAAAGAGAGAAATAAAATAGGAACCAGAAAGAGAGAAATAAAACAGGAACCAGATAGAGAAATAAAACAGGAACCAGAAAGAGAGAAATAAAACAGGAACCAGACAGAAAAAAATAAAACAGGAACCAGACAGAGAGAAATAAATCAGGAGCCAAACAGAGAGAAATAAAACAGGAACCAGACAGAGAGAAATAAATCAGGAGCCAAACAGAGAGAAATAAAACAGGAACCAGACAGAGAAATAAAACAGGAACCAGACAGAAAAAAATAAAACAGGAACCAGACAGAGAGAAATACAACAGGAACCAGACAGAGAGAAATAAATCAGGAGCCAAACAGAGAGAAATAAAACAGGAACCAGACAGAAAAAAATAAAACAGGAACCAGACAGAGAGAAATAAATCAGGAGCCAAACAGAGAGAAATAAAACAGGAACCAGACAGAGAAATAAAACAGGAACCAGACAGAAAAAAATAAAACAGGAACCAGACAGAGAGAAATACAACAGGAACCAGACAGAGAGAAATAAATCAGGAGCCAAACAGAGAGAAATAAAACAGGAACCAGACAGAGAAATAAAACAGGAACCAGACAGAAAAAAATAAAACAGGAACCAGACAGAGAGAAATAAATCAGGAGCCAAACAGAGAGAAATAAAACAGGAACCAGACAGAGATAAATAAATCAGGAGCCAGACAGAGAGAAATAAAACAGGTACCAGAGAGAAATAAATCAGGAGCCATTTAGAACCAGACAAAGAGAAATAAATTTGTAACCAGGCAGAGAGAAATAAATTTTGGAACCAGACAGAGAGAAATAAAAGAAGGAACCAGACAAAGAGAAATAAAACAAGGACCAATTAGGGAGAAATAAAACAGGATGATCTGATCATTGGTACTTAGCGATATCAGTACTGGACTGGTTTTAGAGCACCATAATTGAGATCTATAAAATGACATTGATATCCACTACCATCATGAATTGAGATCTATGAAGTGACATAGATATCAACCCCAATCATGGATCGAGATCTATGAAGTGACATAGATATCAACCCCAATCATGAATTGAGATCTATGGAGTGACATAGATATCAACCCCAGTCATGGATCGAGATCTATGAAGTGACATAGATATCAACCCCAATCATGGATCGAGATCTGTGGAGTGACATAGATATCAACCCCAATCATGGATCGAGATCTATGAAGTGACATAGATATCAACCCCAATCATGGATCGAGATCTATGAAGTGACATAAATATCAACCCCAGTCATGGATCGAGATCTATGAAGTGACATAGATATCAACCCCAATCATGGATCGAGATCTATGGAGTGACATAGATATCAACCCCAATCATAGATCGAGATCTATGGAGTGACATAGATATCAACCCCAATCATGGATCGAGATCTATGAAGTGACATAGATATCAACCCCAATCATGGATCGAGATCTATGAAGTGACATAAATATCAACCCCAGTCATGGGTCGAGATCTATGAAGAGACATAGATATCAACCCCAATCATGGATCGAGATCTATGGAGTGACATAGATATCAACCCCAATCATGGATCGAGATCTATGGAGTGACATAGATATCAACCCCAATCATAGATCGAGATCGATGAAATGACACAGATACCAACCCCAATCATATATCCAGATCTATGAAATGGTATAGATATCAACTCTATCTGTCAAGGTAACATTATGATGATAATTGTGTTTTTACCCTGCTTTGGTAAAGGGTATCTGATACCAAAGTAATCCTCAAAGTATTCTGTTATCTTGACACCAACATCCAGAGCGTACTGAGTGTCGTTCACAGACTGTGGTTTAGCCCAAGTTGACAACTGTTGGAATTAGTAATAATGTTTTTTTTTTTTAAACCAGTTTACTTTTATCGCCATTTTGAGAGCACAAGAAATAACAATGTAAATGACCTCGTAACAATTAAAGACAAAACATGGCAGTTCACGTTATTTAAAGCGAATTGCCACAATTTTCAGCTCAGCAGTGTTGGTCTCATTTAGAATTTATATAACACAACTAGAATCGAATGTTTTCTTAAAAGGTCAAGCGGTTGCGTTTAAAATTGTTACTGTAAAACTCTTAAAATGCAGCCCAGCAACGATTCTCTCATATTTATATACCTCAAATAAGCAAAAATGCATTGTAATTACTTGTTATGTGGGCTAACATCTGACATGACATTAATGAGGATGTAAATATTACTATATAATTTCATCATTCATATTCCTCTACAGCAGAGATATAATTATTTGGACATATGCACCAATGTTTAAACGCACTGTAGTAAGAAACTGCAGTTTCTGAAGGTGTGTTCACAGCTGGTACCATCAATGTTGACCGGCTGCCAAAAGGTGGAACGCACTGGAGGTTGTATGATCTACTTAATGCATTACAGAGCGGAGGATGATGCATTTACCTTCACCATAGTTGGCAGCAATGAATGTTGGTGTCACCATTTGGAACCGAGACATGCCAGATGACCAGAAACTAAACCTTTTCCGTTGTGATTTGAGATGGTAAAGTTAGGCTAAACGTTTTTGTGTGTTTTTTTTAACATTGAAAGAATATTGTTGGCAGACTTCAAAGACTACCCACTGTTGGGACATGGACTGCATCAAGCCACCAAGAATAAACGTGACTGTACAGCATGACAGTGCCCGTCCCAATGTTGCAAATATTGTGCAGGAAGCGCTTGCAGGAAAGAAGTGGGAAATGCTGCAGAATCCAGGCTATAGTAATTCTCGGTCGGACCTATTAAAAAAATCTCAAGATACAACAATTTCACACAGTTGCAGATGTAGTGAATTCGGTAAACACTTGGTTCAAAGACCAAACACAGTCCTTGTTTGCGGACGTCGTTCGCTCTTGACGTAGTATGCGATGTTTGCCTGAATGCCTGCAGTGAGTTTTTCTGACCAAGCAATAGTGCATAATTTTTTCAGAAACGAATGCTTTGTTTTGTTCTGCTACTACTGTTGACACGTATTGCAAATGAAAGCTCACATATTCATGATCTGTGTGATGGTACTCGGTGATTATGTCACTTATTCCTGATAAGATTAGAAGTTATTCATATACATAGCGCGGTCCTATCATGTAATCACGATAAAATTTAAAAGTTATATAAACACATATTGCTGTCATATCATATCATGTTATCATGATAAGATTACAAGTAATACATAGCAGTCTTATATCAGGTAATCATGCTATGATCACAAGAGAAACAGTACTCTGTTGCATCACGTAATCATGATAAGATTAAAAATGATACATTGTCGTGTTTAACCATGTAATCATAATAGGATTGTAAGTGATAAATAGTGGTGTTATACCATGTATTTATAAGATCACAGGGTAAACAAAGCGTTATGTCTGAATTTCAGTCATTATATGTGCATACCAAGTTTTACAATGAACTGGTGAACGATAGACAATCTTTCAAGCGGTTTGTAAACTGTGCAGAGATCTGCGAAATAAAAATACGTATATATTGTTAACGATAATTAGTTTGTTAGTTCTTGTCACTTGAGCCTAGAGTGGTGCATAGGGCAGAGGTCATAGTTCTTCATGTCAGGCGTTTAGTTGTCACCTGTTGTAGGTGTGGGATGTTCATTAGGCCCATGGTTGAGTCTTCTGTAAAGATGGTTCTACACCGGGTCTCTCTTGGTCTTGCCCGTTTCTGTTCCCTGCCGGTGTCCATATACGGGCATGATGGGATGCAGTCTGGTCTTACCCATTCTGAGAGCATAGCCACTGTAGTCCCATCAGCACTTTCTTTTAAAATTGGATACATGATCTTGCTTGGCCTCTTGTTTTATTTGTGTATTGGATCTGAAATCTGTCTAGTGGAGATTTATTCTTCTTCTAATACATTTGATTTTCAAAACTGTCTAATGTTTTTGTTTTAATCTATAGCTACTGTTGCTTTCGGACCATTATAATAATGATACTATTTGTTTCAATTTTTTTTTTCTTTTTTTTTTTTTTTTTTAGCTTTCTTAAAAATAAGATAACTAAACAGTAATGATTTTATTATTCACGAAAGGACATCAATATGCCAAATAGTCTGACAACCAGGCAGTACTTACGGTCACGTTATATTTGGTTGTCTTACTCAGAAAACCGTAGTCACACACTACAAACGCCAGAAGGTACGTCGACATTTGGACTGTCTGTTTGTAAACATCTTTCACGTACGTAATTCCATTTTCTTTGCTGAAAGTAAAAACATTAACCAGAATTGTCCTTTCCCTACGCATATTCTAACTTGTTTGATTGACAGCTAAGGAAAACCTTCAATGTCACATAAACAACCGCATCAATTATTGGAAGACATATAATATGAAAGGGGGAAAACATAAATAATGCCAGTACATAGAACACTATACAAACTAGGCAGCTAGCAACAGACGGGACACTACATCTAACTCCTCTCTAGCAACAGACAGGAAACTACATCTAACTCCTCTTTAGCAACAGACAGGAAACTACATCCAACTCCTCTCTAGCAACAGACAGGAAACTACATCCAACTCCTCTCTAGCAACAGACAGGAAACTACATCCAACTCCTCTCTAGCAACAGACAGGAAACTACATCCAACTCCCCTCTAGCAACAGATAGGAAACTTCATCTAACTCCTCTCTGCTCTGCGACATAAGCAGTAGGACGGTAGATAAAGAAGTTTAACAACCATAATGCATTTGTAAGCTTCCTTTCTCAGTTTTTATACAAATAAGTCCCACAGAATAGTGCTGCAGACAGTCTAAGCCTGCGATAGAAGCAGAAAAGCTGACATTTTTGGGTATTCTTGTATCTGTATGTATGTGTCTGTGTGTGGGTGTACATATATATACATGTTTATATGTATCGGCGTCTGTGGCTTAGACGTTGCAATAGTGGTTTTGTAATTCTCTGATACCGGACAATGGCAAACTACTGGAAGTAAAATTACCAAATAAAGTCAGAAACAGCCGAACAAAAAAATGCTCGGTTTGGTTCTGCAGCGCCTTATAAAGTATTAACTATACACAACTTACGTAAGGGTGTGTATGTTATGGGTGTGTGTTACGTATGTATGTATTTATATATGTACAGCATAAGAAATATATTCGATTGAAAAAGCAAAATGTTGCTCCTTGAAGAATTTTTATTGATATAATCCCCGTTTAGTGCATATTGTTTTTAATGCTAATTCGATTTTCGGTCCTTGTTAGCGCACGTTAACGATGTGTCACTGTATATATATATATATATATATATATATATATATATATATATATATATATATATATATATATATATATATATATATATATATATATATATACACATCTAGAGTGTGTGTGTGTGTGTTTAACATTGTAAAATACAGGTTCCCTTCGTCCATATCATCGCCTCAGCATCCACCTCTTTCTTCTTCTACTGTTAAATATTTGCTGCAGCTTCTGCTGCTACCACTACCGCTGCAACCAGTACAACTAGTGAGATGTGTAACTGTAATATTACTTGTACTCCTACTCCAGCTACATATGCGCTGACCTAAATACGGCGCCAGTCGACAGATCTGCATCACTGCTGCACGTCGAACCATTCAGTCTCTACATGCTCTGACCCTCTCTCCTCGCTCCTGGCTATTTCCCTCTGTCTGTAGCGGCTGATGCCACCAATCTTCAGTTGGTTTATTGTCCATCTTTGGCTTTCTTTTGTCTGACCTCACCACCATGAGGTTGCCAAACTGGACATGTCCACATGTTTTGGAGAATGCGATGTAACAGTAACAAACCTCAAGATATAGGGCTTCTTCTTTTGTGTGTGTGGAAACACAGTGTCACAATAGAAGATTGTTAAACCTAGTACCGGTACAGATGACTGGTAAATGCTTAGGTTTATCAGGAATACTTTAAAAACAATTGCAGATGCGTAGTTTATTGGTGTTGCTATTATTATTATTATTATTATTATTATTATTATTATTATTATTATTATTATTATTAATTATTATTATTATCATCATCATCATCATTACTATTATTTTTATTTTTATTATTTGGTCGATGTGATTACAAGAACTATTGGAACCATACCCATCGTTAAATTTATTGAGAAGCAAAGAATGAAATGGTTTGGTCACTTAATGAGAATGGAACCAACGATGCCAGCATCAAGAGCATACAACATGAAAATCGAAACACCAAGAGGCAGGGGAAGACCAAGAAGAAGATGGATTGAAGGAGTCACGGACAACTTGAGACTTCATAACATCACGGCATATGAAGCGACTGAGCGCGCTCTGGCTCGGTTGCCGATCATATGATAGACTGCGTCGCCTAGCGGCACAAGCAGATTTTGACAAAATAAGAAGAAGATTATTTGGTCCATAGGAGATAAATAAATTAAACTATTATAAATTGAGTCACGTGATTTTGAACACGATGTTAAAAAGTTGATATGATACTTACAATGGTGTATCTGAGCGGATCCTGGGCATGTTGGACAGAGAAACGCGATCAGCGGGTCTCACTAGAGAAATGTTAAAAGTGGATTTCATCGCTGGCTCGTCAAAACATGGAAATGCTTTCCTGGCATGCGTCGCCTCGAACTGTGTGGTGGCCAGATATCTAGTTTGATGTAAATAAATAAAAAGACAAATTAAATTCGTCTAAGATATTATTATCATTATTATTATTATTATTATTATTATTATTATTATTATTATTATTATTATTAGTTCTTCTTCTTCTCCTTCTTCTTCTTCTTCTTTTTCTTCTTCTTCTTCTTCTTCTTCTTCTTCTTCTTCTTCTTCTTCTTCTTCTTCTTCTTCTTCTTCTTCTTCTTCTTCTTTTTCTTCTTTTTCTTCTTCTTCTTTTTCGCCTCCTCTTCGTCTTCGGTAAAAGATTTAACTCACAGCTAGTCTCATAATAGCCCTTAGCTCACAGTACGGTAAGGGACCTGTAGTGAGTCATTTTCTCCTCATTAATTTATGCCCGATAGATGACGTCAGTAATAGATGTAAGACGAATGTTTTGACTGGTTGAGATAACACGAGATTTATGTCTTGAGTTTCATGAGAGACATCTGAAAGTCAGGTTTTATGTGAAACATGATTGTTCACAGGATTTGTGTGAAATGTGAATTATCACGGGCCAGACACGACTTTCAACAGTGGGAAATTCGTGAGAATGAATCCAGAATATTCGAGAACAGGATAGATCAGAGGGCTATATAATAGCGAAGAAAAGGTTTGTGAGCAGTCTCGTTTTGGACCTAGGAACAGTGTGCATGGACAGCGGTGGATGATGTGTAGATTCAGCAGATGTTTTTGTGAGTGAATTTGTTCCAGTCCAACTTGGGAAAAAAGCTGGCCAGTAATATGTCTGCGGGTCGTCTGAGTTTGTCGGTCAGGACAGCTGCTGTGTTTCGTTCAAGATGTTAGTGTGATTGTGATTTCTGCTTGAAGGTAATATGTGACACTTGCATTATAATGTGTGCCTGGACAGTTGTCAAGTTCATGTGCCGGCTGTGTAAGCCGCGAGTGGAAGATTAAAGTACTGGAACAGTATCGTGTGTTTTTCCAGTCGTCCATTTTTTCTGCTCGTCGTGTGATGTCGGTTTTGTGAGTTGGCAGCGAGCGTGCGATGAGGCGAGCCAGTAGAAGATAAAAGAGAATCATCGCAAGATAGATGGGGAACTCGTCCAAACATTTGAGGATAGGAAAGTTGTTTCCTACAGAAAAATCTGAGACATCGTAAGGTGTTTAGTTATCAACCTGACGTCAGGTAGTACCAGTTCAACATACGAACGTAAGCGGGGAAGATCGATGGCGAAATAACAACAACCCATATTCGATAGTTCACAGATTGAACAACGTTCGGACAAATTCCAGGCTTTGAATACTGATAGACAAGTCCACGTTTTAAGTTTCGACCAAGTAATCAACAATCAACTAAGATGCGAAGGAAAGATTGCAGACAGTGACGGTGTCAAAGAGCATTCATTGATTGTAGCAAAGGAATACAACCGTAAGTCTACACAGAGATGATGTGAGACTAGGGCTGCCCCTCTGCAAAACTTCCGAAGCCTTGTTGTTTGATCAAATTTTGCTGCCGACTAAAGTGTGGTAAAGTGTAGTGGGAAATCTACACTGAACAACACAGAGAAGCGTCGACACCAGATCCTATTTTTCGGATCTGTTTTTCAAAACATAGAAAGACAGTGAAACACCGGGTAGAGTGTTAACTGTACAGAAATCAAAAAGAACCACAGCTCTGACACTGGGTATTTGTGTCGCAGCTCTACATTTTCAGACGTGGCAAACCATTTAATAGGAAACTGCAGTATGACAAGTCTACAAAACCTCAAGATCAGCACTCATTAATGTCTCGTGATCGATGATGCTTCAAGTTCATCGTGTAATCGCACATATCACAAGAAAGCGATAACAATAAAGCTTTCCTACGTCCTAAACACATTCAGTCGACAGGAAAAGCATCAAAATTGGTCGGTGCAAATCTAAGTATTGATTGAAGTGTGTAGCAGTAGCTAGCAGTGAACTATTTGTCTACAATTAACAATGTACTATTGAAGTGTGTAGCTAGCAGTGAACTATGTTAGTGTATACAGTTAACAAGGTACTATTGAAGTGTGTAGCTACCAGTTGAACTACTCAATGATAAATATCCAGTTTATGAAACCTATAGTACAGTGAACAGTACCACAAACAGTATACAGTTTCTGTAATAAATGCTTCACTGAACAATTCCTTAATTAGTGGGCATTCAATGCTAAAATTACTAGTGTGAACAGATAAACTGTGCGGTCTTAATTAGTTTCAGTGCCCAGTTCATGAAATTATTACTATGGTGTGTTAATTTCAATTAACCATATCAAATTATCATTTCTTTAGTATTTAAAAGTAGCAGTAGCATTTTCAACGGACAAGCTTCAACGAAACAACCTTCAAGAAAGCAACAGCCATCGCAGAATCAGCTTCAGGTCAACTTCAGGACAGTCAACTAGATCAGCACAACAATATACATTGATTATTAATTTTATTTTGATTTATATTTCTGGTCATTCAGTTATTTATTATAATTATCAATATTATTTATTTATAATTTACATTGGTGCAGTCATTGACATTTATTTTATTTATTTATAATTTACATTGGTGCATTCATTGACATTTATTTTATTTATTTATAATTTACATTGGTGCATTCATTGACATTTATTTTATTTATTTATAATTTACATTGGTGCATTCATTGACATTTATTTTATTTATTTATAATTTACATTGGTGCATTCATTGACATTTATTTTATTATATTGGTGCATTCATGGACATCTACTTTATTTATTAATATTGTTACATTGGTGTTTTTGATATTATTTTGTATTTCCTACTATTCTTTACATAATTTCTTTTTATTTATAAATATTGGCAAATTGTATTGAAATTCTATATTTTTTTTATTTCTTCATTTACAAAGTTGTGGGTGTTATATTACACGGAAGTTCAGTACCACCATCATCAGGAAGTGCCATAATTAATCATATACACATTATCATTATCAAGTGTCAAAGTTATTTCAATTTGAGTTTAACATTTGATCTACCCATTCACATTTGATCATCATCAAGTATAATCACTATAACAAAAGTATAGTTGTGGGTAATAGAAATTGTATTGTATACCAAAAATAATAAGTCAATCAGTAGTTAATTGGCGAAGGATCATTGTAATATTATTTGGTGATACACTAATTGATTCAACACTATATCTTTATTTAATCTGTGTTGAATAGTATTATTGTTGATTTCTAATATAGACTAAAGGTATTGGGGGATAAGAATTATTTTTTTTAGTTTCTGCATATATATTGTAACTGAGTTTTGCGTCATTGAAAGCGAACTTAATAAGCATCTTACTGAACAAGTGAATTTAGTAGTTATTACGTAAAATAATTTAATTATTTGAGACTATTAGTGATTACTCTATCACAGTCGATTATCAAGACTAATTCAATCAAATATTTTTTATTTTTTTTAGAATAGTATTTAGTTATACCCAGACTGTGCGGCCAATAAAGATAATTATTTTTTTTTTTTTGGTGATTTCACAAGGTATAATCAGTTGAAACTTTATAACCAACTACTGTGCTACACAGGATTATTATAACATTGTTACACATTTACAAATTAATTAGTTATTTATTTCGTAAATACTTTGATAGTCCACTACATCTAATACTTTGATAATCCACTGCATCTACTCTAGTGCTACAACATTCTATTAGTTGATTAACAATCTTTAGCAAATAATATATCATTTATTCTTGCTGTCATATCTAATTTCTCAAGTGTGCTTAAGTGATTTACTCTCCCATAAGCTAAACATATATTAGTTAACTCTTCTTCTCAAACATCAACTGTACATATATAGAATTATTTGGTTATAAGCTTGGTGGTTGGAAGAGTTACATCCACTTTATTTTAAGGTATAGTATTGATACCCAAGGACATTTAGTTATTAATTCAAGTTACTAGTTCATTACATTGAACTTATATTGTTCTTTTTAAGGTGTGTATTTTGAAAGAAAGGAATTGTAACTTCACTGTTTACATTGTAAAGACATAAAAATGTCTAACTTGGCAGAACTGATCAAGCTGGGCAAAGAATTGAATTTAGAAGGGGAAGAACTTAGAAAGTTTTGTGATGAGAAGGAAAAGAAAATGCAAGACGATGCCAGGGAAGAACGGAGATTATTAAGAGCACACGAACTAGAGGTTAAAAGACAGGAGATGGAGATAAGAGAAAAACAGCTGGAACAAGAAAAAGAAATGAAAAAACAGGAAATGGAGATGAGAAATAAACAACTTGAACAAGAGAAAAATTTGAGAGAGATGGAAATACAAACAAATGCTCAGTTGGAACGTGAGAAGATAGCTGCGTCAATTCAGACTGAAAAAGAGAAGACAGAGGCACAAATCAGAACTAAAGAAATGGAAAATGATTCGAGAAGAGAAGCTGCTATCCAAAAAGAAAGATTAAAAGAAGAAGAAAATAAATTCAAAAAGTATGCAGGTATAGTTAGAAATTTCTCTGAAAAGGATGACATTGGTAGTTATATATCTAGCTTTCTTTTGCAAATGCGCTTTCATGATGTTCCAAAAGACCAGTGGGCCATTATTTTTCAAAAACATTTAGCATTTGAACCATTGAAGATCTTAGAAACAGTCCCTGAACATCTAAGATTAGACTTTGACTATATTAAAGATCGCATCATGCGACACTATGACCTACATGAAGCAGGGTATAGGAAGAAGTTTCTGGATTTAAAGCCAAAGTCTGATCAGACGTTCACTGACTATTTTTCGAAAGTTCAGAATATTTTTGATAAATGGATTGATTCGGCCAATGTTAGAGATAATTATAAATTATTAGTAGATTTATTATTAAGGAACAAAATGTTGGAATCTTTACCTAAACCTATGTCAACCTTTTTAAGAGAAAATAAACCAACCTCATTGAAGGAGTTAGAGAACTTAGGTGAGAATTATTTTTCAGCCCATCGTGAAATCTTCATTTCCAACCCGGTACCAGACATTGAAACTG